TCCAATCAAGTAACCTGCCAGACAGGAGATAAACAAGGACAGGAGAAAAAACAACATTAAAATTTTCTGTTTTAGACCGCCTTTTCTGTGATGTAGGTATGATGTATCTGAGGGCTGGTCTTAGGTTACACCCCTTCTGTGATGTATGTATGATGTTTCTGGGGGGTGGTCTTGATCTACAGGGTGGCAATTTCAAAAGTCTTTATAAGGCCTTGCACACCATTTTTCTGGGTCCTCCTCCTCTCCTGTGTGTGAGGGGAGCACCCTGTTGCAACAGATCAATAAAGATCAAGCTTACTAGCTGCTTTGCTTCTCAATATTCTCTGGTTGGCCTCTGTTATTTTCTCCTACCAATAGGGAACCTATGTAAGGACTCTATATGGGCTCTTGGATACCCCATAAGGGAAAAGGGCAATTTTTGTTTACAACAGTGGATAATGTACAGACTTAAAACAAATTATTGTTGCTGATTTGTCCATTTATTTTCCTGCACTTTGTTACATCTGGGATACAATCTAACTCATCTGATTTCATATGCATTTCAAAAAATGCCATAACTATTAAACAACTTGTTTACAGACAGATGAAATAAATTTATTCCAACAACAACAAAAAGATGGAAAAGCGACAAAATACCAACAAATGAACATTGGCAAGAAAAGTTGATGGAATATGCTGAAATAGTGATGCTAACTTAGAGACTCAAAGATAAGGACAATAACGGCTTTAAAAAAGATTGGGAATATTTTATGATGTATATACAGAAACAATGCACTGAAATGAACTCACTGGCAGGATTTGAATAATACACTTACAATGGACAAATACAAACAGAAAATATAATTTTGTGGTAAAAATGAGAAGAATAGACAAATGATACAACCTTAATTTTAATATACAAGGAATATAAAATTATGAGCAGAAGAAACAGATATGCTATAAACCAGGAAGGGAAGTCGTGGGAAGTTGGGGGGGGGGTGTTAATTGAAATTGTAAAATGTAATTTGAATGTTTGATTATGTTAAAATTTCTTCAATAAAATTAAAAATGTTGAAAAAAGATAAAAAAGATATCAAAGCAGTTAACATCAATAAAAACATAGCACCACACAATAAAAACCATTGAAAAGTCAAAAACCGTTAATCACCATGGAAGGATCTGTTTATAATTGCCCACACCCCGCACCAGAGTCGTGGAAAGAAGCATATATTACACCTGTACCAAAAACAGAGACTGAAAAGACACAACTCAAGAACTACCGCCCTATATCATTACTTAATGTGGATTACAAAATTTTTGCAGATATTTTGGCTAAGAGATTTAAAAAAGTGCTGTTGGAAGAGATTCATAAAGACCAAGCGGGCTTTCTCCCAGGAAGACATTTGTCTGATAATTTGAGGAATATAATTGATACCTTGGAGAAATTAGAAGTGAATATAAACACTAAAGCAGTGTTGATATCTGTAGACGCGGAGAAAGCCTTTGACAATATTTCTTGGAAGTTTATGAAGAAGAATCTACAGGGTATGGGGGTAGGCCAAGGTTTTGAGAATGGTATAAGTGCAATTTATTCAGAACAAAAGGCTAAACTAATTGTAAATAATGTTGTGACGGAAGAACTTAAAATTGAAAAAGGGACACGACAAGGTTGCCCAATTTCCCCACTTCTTTTTATTTCGGTCCTGGAGGTTCTGCTGAATATGATTAGAAGGGACCAGATGGTTAAAGGTATACAGGTCGGAATTAAACACTATAAATTGAGAGCATTTGCAGATGACTTAGTATTGACGTTACAGGAGCCAGAATCTAGTACTAAAAGGGTTTTAGAACTGATTCAAGAATTTGGTCAAGTGGCAGGATTTAAACTGAACAAGTTAAAAACCAAGGTTCTAGAGAAAAATTTAACACCGTTTGAAAGAGAGAGGTTTCAGAATGAGACAGGTTTAACTGTGGTTAAGAAAGTTAAATACTTGGGGATTAACATGACAGCAAAAAATGGGAATTTATTTAAAGATAACTACGAAAAATGTTGGTCAGAAGTGAAAAAAGATTTAGAAATTTGGTCAAATTTGAAGCTTTCACTGCTAGGCCGTATTGCTGCGATAAAGATGAACGTACTGCCCAGAATGTTGTTTTTGTTTCAAACTTTGCAGATCGTGGACAAAATGGATTGTTTCAAGAGGTGGCAGAAAGATATTTCTAAATTTGTCTGGCAGGGCAAGAAGCCCAGAATAAAATTTAAAATACTAACAGATGCAAAGGATAGAGGTGGATTTGCCCTGCCAGACCTTAAACTGTACTATGAATCAGCAGCTTTTTGCTGGTTGAAAGAATGGCTACTTCTTGAAAACACTGACATTTTGGATCTAGAAGGTTTTAATAATGTATTTGGATGGCATGCATATTTATGGTATGATAAGGTCAAAGCACATAAAGCATTTAAAAACCACATTGTCAGGAAAGCGCTGTTTAATGTTTGGATAAGATATAAGGATTTGCTAGAAAATAAAACCCCAAGGTGGCTGTCACCAATGGAAGCGAAAGCCTTGAAAAAGGTCAATATGGAGGTCAAATGGCCGAAATATTGGGAAATTTTGGAACAAGACGGAGATAGACTGAAATTGCAGAGTTTTGAAAAACTAAAAAACAAAGTGCGAGACTGGCTTCATTATTATCAAATAATGGAGGTATTTAAATTGGACAGGAAAATTGGCTTCCAGGTGGAAAGATCCAAATTAGAAACAGAATTGTTAGAACCCAAGACTAAGAATTTGTCAAGAATGTATAACTTGCTGATGAAATGGAATACTCAAGATGAAACGGTAAAATCGGCTATGATTAAATGGGCACAGGACGTTGGACATAACATTATGTTTGCTGACTGGGAACAGTTATGGACCACAGGTATGAAATTTACGGCATGTAATGCCTTAAGAGAGAATATTATGAAAATGATATACAGGTGGTACATAACCCCAGTCAAGCTTGCGAAAATTTATCACTTGCCCGATAACAAATGTTGGAAATGTAAAGAAACTGAAGGTACATTTTTCACCTTTGGTGGACGTGCCCAAAGATTAAGGCTTTCTGGGAAATGATATATAATGAATTAAAAAGGTATTTAAGTATACCTTCCCTAAGAAACCAGAGGCCTTTCTCCTGGGCATAGTCGGCCAAATGGTGTTAAAAAGGATAGAACTTTCTTTATGTATGCAACAACAGCAGCAAGAATACTCATCGCAAAGTATTGGAAGACACAAGAACTTCCCACGCTGGAGGAATGGCAGATGAAATTTATGGATTATATGGAACTGGCTGAAATGACTGGTAGAATCCGTGACCAGGGAGAAGAGTCGATGGAGGAAGACTGGAAGAAATTCAAAGACTATCTTCAGAAACACTGCAAAATTAAGGAATGTTAGAGTGATGTTGGACTGAAAACAAGTGGTTTCCAGCTGCACAGGTTAAAGTTAAGGATAGATTAAGATTAAAGATCAAGATTAAAGAGGTTTAAAGAAATGGAAATTTGATATTAAAAGGGAAAACTTTAAAGTTCTATGATATTAAGATATTAAGATTAAGGATTAGGTTTAAAAAAGTTGAAGTTATATATTTTAACATTTTATTAAATTAAAGATTGGGACTAAAAAAGTGGAAAAGAAACTGCTGGACAAATAATGTGGACTGGAATACAAAAGAGGGAGGTATGAGGAAGTCTAGAAAATAAGTAATTTAAAATTGGAAATGGAAAAGAGAGTTTGTTTTTAATTGTTGTGTTTTGTGTTTTTATTGTTAAGTTTTGTATTGTTTTTTGTGTGTGTTGTTTTTCTTGTTTTGTTGTTTAAAACTTTAATAAAAAAATTATTTAAAAAAAATAATAATAATTGCCCACACCCCGGCCTTCAGTTCTTTCTCGGCGACGGAGAACTGGAAAGGGGGGCGCGTGGCATCAGGGGTGTTGTGAAGGGGTTGCCCAGGTGGATAGAACACACACTCCTGGTCCTTTCTACCAGGCCCTGAGTGTGTGGCTCTGAGTGTGGCGTAGCCAGGGAAGCGCAGTTGCCCCTTGCCCCGTAAACAAAGTAAATAAATAAAAATACGTAACTAACTGACCAATTGTGTCGCACATAACTCGGTTCTACGCCCCCATAAATAAATCCTGGCCACGCCCATGTGGGTCTCTCTCAACTTTGCAAGTTCAATGCAAACCTATGCCATGGACCTGTGCCCCGAGGCTCTTACGGATCTAGCCATGTCCCTGCAAGCAATGAGCAACTGGCTTCTTAGTGCAATCAGAACCCATTGTGTCCTTATTCATGGCTCAGTGGCAGAGCACCCACTTCTGCCTTGCAGAAGGCGTCCCAGTTCAATTCCCAGCGGCATTTCCAGGTAGGGTTGGGAGAGACACCTGCCCAAAATTTTTGGATAGCTACTGCTGCCCTTGGCACACGCCTGCGCAGGTTCATCAGTCCCGCTTAATGCTCCGCATGCGGGCATGATTTCCTCCCCGCATATGGAGCCAGGAAACTTATTGCCCTCTCAGTGAAGGGCACTCCTCAACAGCAAACTACAATTCCCAGAACTCTTGTGGTGGGAGGGGATATAGGAGGCCAATACGCTTCGCGTCCAGGAGAGAGGCGGGCCTTTGGGCGCCACCGCAAAGCCGAGAGTGGAGGAGTTCTACGCCATGCAAGCCATAGAAGCTGTAGGGGATCGAAAAACAAGGCTCTGAAGCACAGTTGCCCCCTCAGCGTGCACAAAAAACCGTAGGGCGGAGGAAGCACGAAGAATCTGCCCGTCAAACCTCTTTGGGCGAGGGGTCCATTGAGATCCGGAAGTGTTAAGCGGGAACCTTATTCTCCTTTCCTCTTTACTCTCGCCCTCCTATCTTCTCTCTCTCTCTTGCAGCAGCTGACTTCAGCTCCGCCCCGTAAAGGCGGCCGCCGGCCAATCCACGCTGCCCTCCTCAACTGGCCAATCCGCGCTCGCCTCGCGTGCCTCGTGACTGGCACCTCTCCGCCCCCGCCGTAAAGGGAAGCAAAAATGGCGGCCAAGGTGGTCGGTCGGGGCGCCTGGGGCTCCGCGCGGAGGTGAGGCTGGAGCGGACGCTGCGAGGGTGGGGGGCGTTATTTGGGGGCGAAACGTTAGAAGTGAGCCCCGCCTCCCTCAGCTTGTCACTCAGTGGGGGCGATGGGGAGACGCTTCCTGCCCACGAGATTCTCCCCTCCTGAGAGAGAGAGAGAGCGCGCCAAGAGGCGGCCCCTTTCCCTGAGGGAGAGAAACCTTTTTTGTGGAACTCGCGGGGAGGGCAGGAGCTCCCGGTGGGTGCAACACAGACCTCCCCCCACGCTGTATTAACTCAATATAACGGCAAGCATCGTTTATGCACTGCTTTCCCCGTGGTGAGCTCAAGGCAGTGGCTGCGTCCCCCAGCACCCCCATTCCACCCCTGCCACTTCCAATTTTATCCTCACTACACCCCTGTGATGTAGGTCATGCTAAGTGGTTTGAACAAGGTCTCCTAGCAGGAACCAGGAAGGTTGTGGCTCATAGCTGTCAACCGTCCCTTCTTTGGCGGGAAACTCCCTTATCCCAGCGTCGTGTCCCGCTGCTGTCCCTTATTGATGATGTCCCTTAAATTTCCTGAGTTTCATGCTCGCCCGGCTCGGGAAGGAAGCAGTGGCTCGGGGTCCTCCGCGGTGAGAGAGAGCACGTGCTGGCGCTGTCATCCTGGCGCAAGGAGTTCCATCGGCCCTTCTCTGCCCGGGGGGGGGGGGAGGGAGAGAGACTCTCGCCCACGCCACCCGTGAGCCCGGAGGTGGCAGCGGTGGTGGCAGCTGAGGAGGCAGCCTGAGGGAGGAGGAAGAGGAGGGGATGGGAAGGGACGCAGAAGGGCAGCGCTTCAGCGGACGCCGCAGCCCCGCAGCCGCCTCATGCCAGATTGACAGCATCTGTCAATCCTACCAATGTATGTAACTCTTTACAATAGCAAAATCCCTTATTTGGGCTGCTGATCCCTTATTTTCGAGCCTGCTTGTCCCTTATTTTCAAATCTGTAAGTTGACAGCTATGTTGTGGCTGCATCAGAGGTGCCAACTTGAATAAAATATTGGGGGGCCCAGGTAAGCCCCGCCCCACATAATTGATCACAAGATGCGGTGCACACCATTCGAATGGCAATGTCTATGAACTTGGGGAAGTTGGTGCCCTCTAATATTTTATTTTTTGGGGGGATGAAGGGACCTCACTCCCTAGTAGTTGGCTCCTATGGACTGCATTGATATCTTCATGTAAGTCTGGTGTGTGTGTATTATAATTACTGTTAATTTATTTTGTTTGTATCCTGCCGTTCTTACAAACGAAACACGTGTCATATAAACCTGCCGTTCTTACAAATTAAACACATGTCATATATAAACCTGCAGTATATAAAAATAAAGCAATTAAAATCCAACTAAGTCTGCTCAAACCCATTGAAATGAATAGCTCTATATTACACCATGCTCATTATTTTTCAATGGGTCTGAGTAGATCTAGCAAATGAATGCAACCTATACTTGCTGAAACTATTTATAAATCAATGTAAATTCTTATTTATTCTTCTGTAGGTTTGGACTAGTTGCCTACCGGAAATACAGCAGTGGGGGCAGCTATCCCAACATCCCTCTGACAGCTCCTCTCCCTGGAGTGCCAAAGCCCGTCTTTGCCACTGTTGATGGCCAAGAGGGCTTTGAAACCAAAGTGACCACCCTGGAGAACGGGATGCAGGTGGCTTCCCAGAACAAATTTGGACAGTTCTGTACAGTTGGGAGTAAGTTGATTTCAGTTGCAGCTATGCAGGTTTCCTGATACCAGATTTATCTGCTTGGGTATATTACGTGACACATTTTGTGTGGTCCAGGATGGGAAAAGCAGACTATTCTCTGCTGGTTTTCCAGTCTAAAGGGATGGGAATAATTTTGCTTTGGCAAAGGGCCTTATGTTTTGGGGTGGGGGTCATATTTGTGAAGAGGCTTTTGAGCCTTTTCCCCTGACATGCCTCCTGACTGGGTTCCCAATCCCAAGCGCAGGAAGATCTGAGCGTCCAGACTACTTTTGGAGGGTAAACAAACTGATTCTCTTTTCTTCTCTCTCTCTTCTCCTGCCCTTTTCTCAGTCCTTATAAATTCAGGCTCAAGATATGAAGCAAAACATACTGGTGGCATTTCACACTTTCTTGAAAAGCTTGCTTTTTCTGTAAGTAAAGTGATGAGTGATAGTCATATGTACTTGAACTTACTCTTTGCAGTTATGGGTGACCAACATCCATTGAAGTCAGTGGACCCAATCAGACTATGACTTATGTTAGGTATCACGCTGAACATATTATTGTAAACTGTATGCGGTCTCTTGATGAAGAGCGGTATATAAATTTAATAAGTGACATAACAGCAGTAGCAGCAGCAATTATTGTAGTAGCCTGTGAGTCTTACTACTGTTATTTGGTAGCATGGGTGTGCCCTATAATTCCCCTCACCTTTTTCATATCCAGCCTCCTCCCCATGTCCTGTTAATCCTATAAGTCTCTGAGAGAACCCCCCTCTCTTAGGCTACAGCCATGGTCACCCATGGCTAGAACATGGTTTATGCTGACCCTTCCTTGCTTTTTCTGTTGTGCTTTCAGTCTACAGCTCAGTTTGGCAGTAAGGACGAAATCCTCCTCACTTTGGAGAAGCATGGTGGCATCTGTGATTGTCAGGCGTCAAGGTATGTCTATCTAAGCATCCTCCGCTGAAGGCAAAATGATCAGGAAACAAATGGGCATCTGTCAAATTTGTATTTTATTCACTCTTTTAAAAAGCTAAATAATATATGGACCTCTAAAATAGGACTTTTTTTACGCCAGGCTCTTATCTTAATCCTTTTTAGGGTTCAGATTAGAGCCTGTGTTGTGTAGTGATTAGAGTATCACCTGGGAGACCAGGGTTCAAATCACCACTTAACCATGAAGCTCACTGGGTGACTGTGAGACAGTCGCTGCCTCTCTCAACCTAACCTGCCTCACAGGGTTGTTGTGGGGATTAAACGAGGAAGGAACGACGTGGGTCACTTTGTGCTCCTTGGAGAAAAGTTGGGATAGAAATGCAATAAATAAACAACAAAACTGTTCTGACTTGTAGTAGCTTTCCAGGGTTTCTTAAGTCTGGTGCACCTTTCTTCACGTGCAGTTAAGACTGCTTTTTAATATAGTTTAAGAAAGGGCCTCAGCAGAATCACAGCAATGTAGGAGGTGTCTCAGGGCCATGACTTCACTGAGGCTGAACGTCCTAAACTGCTCATCAACCCAAATTCATCCACCTTTGCAGGGACACCACCATGTACGCCGTTTCAGCCGATGCCAAAGGCCTGGATACTGTTGTCAGTCTGCTGTCTGATGTGGTGCTACAGCCCAGATTATCAGGTGAGGCGGTACAAATCTTGAAACTGTGGCGGGAGAGAGGACATAAAATCCTGGCTTGGGGAGCCCCTGTTTCCACAGATAAAGACATAACAGGGGCCATGGTTGCTGCAGCAGATAGCATGAATATGGGGATTCGGGGCAGGAGAAGAGTAGCATGGGGGCATAAATGCATGCCCACTGAAATTTATTTGTTGGCAACTCAGAGGCTTGGCTCTGTTTTGAGGACCATATTGAGGTTCAGGCAGGACTTTCCTTCCACATGAGAATGGCATATGAATGTGCCGTCGTAAATGCAGCTTCAGTAAATGTGCTGTTGTACACTGACCAAAAGGTCAAGGAGTGACATTCTTGGCCTTGCTTTGAGTTTGGCTCTGTGAGCGGCATTCAAGGATCCTCTTGTGCTCAGATCCTACTTGCGGCTTTCCCATGGAGGCACCTCATTGGCCACTGTGAGGACCAGATGCTTGACTATATGGGCCACAGGTCTGACCCTTCATGGCTCTTTGTATGTTCTTAGGATGCTTTTTTCTCTTGGCACAGATGAGGAAATTGAGATGACACGCATGGCGGTCCGCTTTGAGTTGGAGGACCTGAACATGAGGCCTGATCCAGAACCGCTGCTAACAGAGATGATTCATGCAGTAGGTCCTGTTTGAATCTGTTCCAGGAACAAGTTTTTGAGATTGAAATTGAGCGCTCTGTGTGCGATGCTTGAGAATCCCTCAGCTGCACAGCTTAGCAAAAAGAGCAGTAGCTAAGAGACCGCTTATCTCTTGAACTGACTATGAGGATGCTCTTTGGGACGACACTGTCAGTGGGCCAAATAGGGGCATTACCGGAACAGCTGCCCAGTGCTGGTTCTGAGAGCCTTCCCAGACTGTGTACCTGTTCTAGGATAGGCTACCTCCCTAATTCCTGGACACAAGAACAGCTCACTTAGAGGATCTCCATCTTGTTGTGATTAAGCCACTGGTTTTGTTGCTGGTGCTCTATGTTCACAAGAGTTGGATTTCTGCTGAAGGCAAAAACTTTTATTGTCTTGCCTGATAAACATATTTAGGCCAGCAGTAATCTCTTGCTAATTAGACTCTTGGGACTCATCTCTTATAAGGCAAGCGAATGCAAATGAATTTGTGGATCACTTCCCCCTCCCCCCAAAAAAGAGCCTCTCCATCCATTTTTTCTCCCAATAGGCAGCTTTCAGTGAAAACACGGTAGGATTGAACAGATTCTGCCCGGCTGAAAACATAGACAAAATTGACAGGAAGGTTCTCCATTCATACATGCGGAATTACTACACACCCAATAGGATGGTATTGGCTGGCGTTGGGATCGAGCACGACCAGCTGGTGGACTGCGCCCGGAAGTATTTCCTTGGAGCTGAGCCTGTGTGGGGGAGCAGTACGGCTGCAGTAGTGGACAGGTCTGTCGCCCAGTACACAGGAGGGATCCTCAAGGTAAGCCAGAGAAAATCCACTCCTGCTAGCCAGTGGATGCTTAAAGAAGGGCTTCCAGGTGGAGTTGGTGGCGCAAGCTTCTTATTGGAAGAAGCCACAGTCTGCGGTGAGCATCTGTTTTCTTTTTCTGATTATTTTCTCCCTCTGCAGCTGGAGAAAGACATGTCAGATGTGAGTTTGGGGCCCACCCCTATCCCAGAGTTGACCCACATCATGATTGGGCTGGAAACCTGTTCATTTCTGGTAAGGACCTCCCCGCCCCCTGAAGCCTCTGCTTGCACTCGACATCCTTTACGCCAAACTCTCAGCCACCCACTGCCTTTGCCCCCCACACTCTAGGAGGAAGACTTTATCCCCTTTGCCGTCCTGAACATGATGATGGGAGGAGGTGGGTCCTTTTCTGCTGGAGGGCCAGGCAAAGGCATGTTCACCCGGCTGTACCTCAACGTGCTCAACCGGTGAGTCTCTTCTGCTCAAGGGGCAATGTGACAGATCCCCTCACAAGACCTCCTTGTCTGAGATCCCAGACTTGTGCTTCTGCATTGGGGATGAATTGCGCATTTGTACACGGGAAGTTTTGAGTAGAGGGGGAGAGCAAGATGAGGGTAGAGGAGCCAGCAAGAATTGTTGCCTGTGGGAGTTCACCTTAGCTTCTCCTCTTCCCAGGCATCACTGGATGTACAATGCCACAGCCTACCACCACAGCTATGAAGACACAGGCCTCCTGTGCATCCATTCCAGTGCAGACCCCAGACAGGTGGGTGGCTTTCCTGGACTGATTTCACATCACAGACCACTTGGTGTCCGGTCTTGGGCATCTCCTCTGGCCACCTCATGAGTTGATCACTGGTAACTGCAGTGTGGGGATGCATTTACAACCACAGCTAAAAGCTTTCCAGGCTGGCATGCAGGCAGCCCTGGAATCCCACTGCTCTCAGTGGGGCAAGATTGGGTGATACTCTTCGTCTTTTGTGGGTTCCAGGAAGAACTCATTGGTGATCAGCATTTTATACAGTTGCCTTCCTTCCTTCCATCCTTCCTGTCCCTACTTGACAGCCACCTTCATTGCTGCTTTTCATTTACTTACTTCATTATTTGCTTCCAGGTTCGAGAAATGGTGGAAATAATCACCCGGGAATTCATTTTAATGGCAGGAGCAGTTGGAGAGGTTAGCTGTTCCCCATATTCCTAGAATTTCCCTGCTGTTCTTAAACAGAGCAGCAGCAGCAAATTCCCATCTGGGTACCTGGGAGGAGTTCCTGGGGAGGTTTGTGCTGCTCATGACTTTCTGGTGCCTTTGGTCACTGACCCTGCTCCCTCCTTCCCCATGGAGCACATGAAACAAAAGCCTGAAGCATAGGTTGCGTTTGTCCTCTGTCTCTTCTTCCAGGTTGAACTTGAGCGAGCAAAGACTCAATTGCAGTCCATGCTGATGATGAACCTGGAGTCTCGGCCGGTTATTTTTGAGGATGTCGGAAGGCAGGTGTTGGCAACTGGCATGAGGAAGCTGCCCCATGAGCTCTGTGTCTTGATTGGTAAGTAAACTTGACTGGCTTTTCTAGGGTCTCTTCTTTTTCTGGGCCTCATAGCTCAGAGCACCTGCTTGGCATGCAGAACATATCAGGTTCAATCCCCAGCAGCATCTCCAGGTTGGGCTGGAAATGCCCTCTGCCTGAAGCCCTGGAGAGCTGCTGCCAGTCAGTGTAGACAATATGCAGCTAGAGGGCAGCTTCTCATGTTCTTCTGAGGGAGAATATATTTTTGTAACTATCAGTTTTATTTTGGCCTCTTACCAAGACCAGCTTCATTGTGCCCACATCACTTTGACACTCCTGAGCACACACACAAAGCTCTGGCTCCTAATGCAATTTTAGATCCCTCTCATTTCTCTAGCCACTTCTTTCTTTCTCTGGGCCATATGACTGCTGTTTGCTGGCCCCTTGATCTCCATTGCTCCTACTGCACCTCCTTCCTGGCTTAGATTTCCCTTTTTGTGCTAGTCACCCCGAACTCATCTCCAGCTAATAGTAGGGTGAGGAGCCTCCAGCTCCGTGGCTGAATGCATCCCTCTGGGCCTCTCGATCCAGCCTTCATGACTTTCCAGAGGGTGTGCTCTGCACCACGTTGGGTGCCTTTGCCTGCTTGGAACGTGTACTTTAGCTGTGCTGATGTTTCTTGCTTTGGCTGGGTGGAGGCTAGAGAGATGTATGGGAGAAAAGACACCTCTGGCTTTTACACAACTGGAATGTTGCCTCCCATCTTAACAAAATAACATTCGCATCTGTTGCTCTAGCCCCACTCAGTGCCTTTGGAAGGTGCGACCCTTGGGCTGGAAGCATTTGCCTGTTATTCTTACAGTTCACCATTACAGTCCAATAGCCAATACCTACATGTACTCAGCACCAAAATTTAAAAACTAAATTTGCATAAGCAGAAAGAGCGGCAATGTGGCTTTACTTGGTATTGGTTCTGAATGTCCCTTGAAGCCATGCCTGATAGTTTTGTTCCCCTTCTTTAGGCAAAGTGAATGCTAGCGACATCAAGAGGGTGGTGACAAAGATGCTGAGGAACAAGCCGGCTGTAGCCTGCCTGGGGGACTTGACTGAGCTGCCCAGTTATGAACACATCCAGGCAGCCCTTTCCAGCAAGGATGGGCGGCTTCCAAGGATGTATCGGCTCTTCCGTTAACAAGCCCTCTTGGATCCACTTGTCGAGATTTGTGCTTTCCCTGCCAAAGCAGCTCCCGGGTGTGTGAGCCCAGGAGAGGAAGCTTTGTGCAGGTTCTCCGGGTACCTTCGTAACTTTGAAAAGAGCACTCTGGGCCTGTCAACTCAAGCACCTTTGTCTCTGGAAACAGTTTCTTCTTAAGCTTCCTAAACGAACAGCAAAACATGCACCTGTGAAAAGACAATGGAAAGAGCTGCCCACAGAAGTACAGCCTGCTGATTTGATATGTGTTGCAAGCCACCCAAAGTGGCTGGGGCAACCCAGCCAGATGGGCAGGGTTTAGACAATAAAATTATTATTATTATTCTCAAAGTTTCTGTTCATGCTGATTTTTTGTCCTAAATCAGGTGCCTGCAGCCCAGCGACCAAGACCTGTTCCACTCCATGGTAGTAAAGAACATAAATAAATTAATATAACAGGTCACATGTGATTACATACTGATTTTTGCTTGGCCACAGGAATATACTGATATAAAAATTAGAGACCCAAGATGTATATTTTTGATTGTAACGTTTCAGTATTTCACTATTAATTGCTTTTAACCTCTTAGCTAGAATGTACAAAGGAAAAGGTTTGATTTCTGTGTGAGGTTCCCTATCTAACAAGGTGGCACAGATGGCCCTCCAGGATGTTGTTCTATCATGAGTTAGTTCTGGACTGTAAAACCAGCTATCCTTGAAGCTTCTTGGGAGAAAGTAGAAGGGAAGTGAGATACAAGGAAGGCATGTCAATAGCCCAAAGGCCTGGTTGCCAGAGCAGCAGTGATAGAAGCATGACATTTGAGACCAATGGCCTGGCCACATTTGGGCCACTCCAAGGTGATTGCAAGGGTGAAGATACTGATATGGAGCCATGCGTGGTTTTTTTTTACTTCTCATGACCCGTAACCTTTCCTGATGTATGTAGAAGGATGTTTATGTTTTAAGAATGTTTAGATATTTTGTGGCTCTTTGTGTGCTGCCAAAAAACCCTTGTTCTGATGCTCCTCATGGCAGACTTCTTAACTGGGAGTTCTAGCCTATTGCAATAGCTACAATCAATGCTGTGTCCCTCCTGGACTTGAATTAATTTCCTTGGTTCTGTGTTTTATTTAAGAGGTAGTCCCTCAGCTGGGTAACAAACGAGAGTGGTGTAGAAGTACATTCTTACTACAGTACTTGTGTAGAAGTATATGCCACTATTATGGTCTTTCACTTAGGCAGAAAGAGTAAAGTGCTTAACAGTGACTGGAAGCCTCAGGCGAATATTTGGGCTATCTGAAGAATGGGATTCTTTTCCTCACCTACTGCCCACTTACCCATGGCCAGCCTTTTCCTCTGCCTCTATAGAGTTACAGCAGCTTAGCCAGTGGTAGCTTCAAGTATGCTTGCAATGCCCCATCATGAACAAAAGAGCCTTGCTGGATCAGGCCAATGGATTATCTAGTCCAGCATCCAGTTCTCATATTGGTCAAGCAGATGCCCTGATGGGAATCCTACAAACAGGACCTGAGTACAACAACAGCATTTTCCCCTCCTGTGGTTTCTGGAAAACGGTTTTTAGAGGCAGGAAGTGGCTGAAAACGGAGGCAGTACACTGCCATCATGGCTGATAGTGACTGGTAGATCCACAGAGGCACATCAGGATTCTTAATTTTTAAAAGACATTCAAATTGGTGGCCCCTGCCACATGGAAGCCAGGTTTTAACTCCTGTGAAAGAGGGGCATCTCAAACCAGTCACTACCAGAAAGATGCCCCCCCATCCCAAATCCATTAGTGCACAACAGTGATGAACAGGAGAGATTCCTGCATCTCTGGGGCATTTATAGGTGTGAAATTTGCCATGAGGCACAAAATTCAACCTATTAAACAAGCTCCTACTCCAACATGGAATCATATTAATTTCCTTTTGCATTATTTACTCTGGGCAGAGTTTAATATGTCACAACATTTAGGGGTGGGGTCCTGCCTTTTCAAAATGACTGAAAGCTTATCCTAACCTGATGGGATGCCTTCTGTTTGCTTTGTGAGGATGTTTGATGGTGAAACAACGATGCAAACTGCAGCTGAAGAGGAAGGAAAGCTTGACACATTTGAAATAAGTTTTTAGAAATCCAGCTCTTGGTTTATTAAATTATGGACACAAATGCAGTCCAGAGCAATAACAAGCAACCAAATGGTGGAAGGGTAAACCCAAAACTCCAACATGCCTGCGGCCCTGCTTTGCACCTGTTGACAAGTCAAAATTTGGTCTTGCCACAAAGAATACTGATTTTTGTAGCCAGCTGGGAAGAGACAAGCAACAAAGGTTCTTGGTTCAATGAAACCAGAAAGCCTTCTATTTCTTAATACTACTAATCTATGTCCAGGTCTGGGAATGAGGGAAGATATCCGAGGCCCTTCCCATGAGTTGCAACATGCCATCAGCACTCTCCCTGGCACTTCCTACTTCAAAAATAAATGTGCCTGTCCCAGATGGGGACTTTGCTCTTTCTGGAATTGAGAAAACAATGTGTTTTGGGGGGCAAATGAAGCTAGCAGCATGCTCAAATGTTTCTGCATATTCAGCTTCTTGGTGGCAGGGAACGAATGGAGTAAAAATACAGATGCAGAATGTTCCCAGAGCTGGTCCCCAGAGGCACCTGATGAAAACCAAGATGTGAGCACATGGTCTTGAAACACAAAAAGGATGCCCATGACCCTTTTTCAGGCAACAAGTTTCCCAAAACGGCATCAATGAGACAAGGGAGCATCTCAGTCTAGGAAAGTCTCCCCCCAGCTCCACTGGACAAGTTTGTTGCCTTCTTGTGATCAAGTGTCTACAAAGAGCCAGTCACTGTCAACCTCAAGAGCATTCCTTCCATGTTTCCAGGCACAGCAGCGACAAGGCAGTTTCAAAGACCTGATGGCAGGAGGCCCCAAGCGACAGATGCTGGCGCTTTTCCTGCACAGGCCCTTTCACTGTGGGGAGGAGTCAGAAGCTCCTCTTGTGCCCAGCTCAGAAAAGCCCTCTTTGGATGGCCCTTTGAGGTCAGGAAACAGAACAGACGGCACTGGCTTTTTGGTCCTTGAGTGCTTGCTTCCTCTGAAGTTCCCTGGTGATACGTCGCCTGATGCCAATCAAGTAGAGTTCTCGATCAAACAGGCCAGCAGCCAGTGGGATGCTGGAAAGAGACAAGGCAGCATTTAGGTGGGAAGTGACACGCAGGTGAAGGAAGCTGCATCTTCACAAGCCATAAAAGCAGGACTCTGGGACCTGCCTGGCATCTCCAACACTTGTTGAACTCTTAACTCCCAGCAACCCCAGTAGCCAGCATCGTCAAGGCTCAAGGAAGATGCTGGTGCTGATGGTGGGGAGTATTATTCAGCAACATCCAGAGGGCCTCTGTTTTCCCATCCTTGCTGTCAAGGGATATCCATGCCAGGTGTGGGGAACCTCCAGATGCTGCTGGACTATGACTTCCACCAGCCCCAGTGGCTGAGTAGGATGAGAGGAGTTGAGAGAATAATAATAATAATAATAATAATAATAATAATAATAATAATGTATTACTTATATCCCACCCATACAACTGGGCTGCCCCAGCCACTCTGGTTAATCATGCTACTGTCAAAATAAAGACTTTTTACTGAATTAGACCACACATCCCTCTCTGGGGACTAGTCTGCAAGACCTGTGCTGCCTGCCCATGACGCAATTCCTGTGCCAATGTGGTTCCCTACAGCAGGGGAACAAGTGCTACCAGTCTGCTCTCTCTTGGAGGCTGCTTAGTACCTACCCCTCATCTCCAGCCCTCCATCAGATTTATGCCAAAGGCCACCATGACGCAAAGTGTCAATACTAACTTGTCTCTTCCAGGTCTCACTTTGACACGAAACAACCCATATACAGGCCGGTGGTCTGACGTTTTGATCCCAAGGCAGGAAGAGTATTTCACAGCTTGAATGTCATCCTTGTGACGGCTCCGGTAGATCACACGATCCTGAGAAATCCAAGGGGCAAAGAGGGGAAAGGTGAGTTAATCGCTACAGCAGAGAAACAGCCAGCTCTCTTCCAAGGGCACTTTCCTTTTCACAAGTATAAAAGACACTCAGTGGCAAGTGCTGTACTTCTTTCCCACCAAGGCACAATATCATTCTTCCTGACGTTTCCAGGTGAGATGCTGTCTGCTGCTCATGTAGAAGTTCTTACCGTGTATGATGGTGTCCTCTGCTTGGAGGTAGTATCGTAGGAGTCCTGCCCAACATCAAACTTGTAGGAAGGGCGGAAAAGAATGGGAGCCTCTTGGAACCCCTTGAAAATTGATCCTGTGGGAGGGAAGGATGCAAAGAGTCAACTTTCCCCATGGCTTCATCAGGGCTGAATCAAGCTTTAGTTTTGGGATGGAAACATGGCTGTGATATTCTCCTTACCACTGGCCATTTCCTTAATCAACTGGTCATGCTGTAGCAACTTAGACATGTCCGCTTCCAGCCCTTGGCTAAGGATCTGCTCCACCACCTCCCGATCCTCGTTCAGGCGGAAATTGAAGTCCCCGAACCAAAATACATTGTCAAAGTGGGTTGTGACGTCTGCTGCAGAGCCAAATGAAAGGGAGCTGGGATTAGGTGAGGAATCTTACCATGACCCTATTTCAGCTGAAGATCCAAGATGCAGAAGCTCAGCAACCAAATTGTGAGATGCAGGAGTTTGATGAGATTGTCACAAGCCTTGACCTTCAAGAAGCACGTAAATAAACTGCTAAGTACTGCCACTGTTAACATTCTAAATTAAGGGGGATGCCTCCTCAGCAGCTTAACTCTGGAGCTCCCTTCTTCAAGGGCTTTATGGTGGCCTAAATACATTCTCTTATGTTTACTGGGCCAAAGGAAAAGAAATTATAACTGATGAGGTTTTCAATCTCTCTGAAGATTGTGGACTTCCTCCTCCTTCCCTGCACAGGAGGGCAGCAGATTAGAAGTTTCAGCCTCTAGTTAGTGGAAAGCCATTGCCTGTAATTGGCAGTTCCTCTACGTCACACTAAACTGTGGTTTAGCATGACATGCATGAGCAGGAGGAACTCCAGCAAATTTCAGGCTCTGCCTTGCAGCTGGAAGGAGGAGTTCAAAAACATTCACTTTGGCTTGTGTTAACTGTGTTTACCATTAACCACATGAGGGCTAGACCACTGATTTGGAGAGGAAAATCAGCTTATTTTTTAGAACCAAGTTTTCCATGGTGGTTTACATTTACTGGGAAGGAGCAGCTCATTACAAAATTGCAAGTATTTCACACAACAAAAAAGGGCCTTTCTTCCAGACATCAAGCTACTCACAAGGGCTGGAGCGATAGGGGTTGGTATCTGGAATGTTTTTTGGAAGTGTAAGAGCCTGGATGGTTTTGTTGTAGTCCAGGACCCTCTCGTACACTTTGCCATCTCCAGCTGAAAAATAAAAGACAGTCTGCTTAATGCAAGGCCTCTTGAAAACAGGAAACAGGGGACAGAGTTCATGGGTAGCTTGCTCTGGCAATTAATTATCAAGAGATTCCTATATGGAGAAGAGGCGATGGATTCTGTTTTGAAACCCAGCTGTACTGCGCAGGTCCTGGGCAGGATGAGGTGTGGTCCACAAGGCTGAGTCAAGGCAGCCCAATTTAGCAGTCAGCACCACCAAGCATGTTAAGCAAGATTCTCCTCAAAACAGACTATCCAAAGATCCAGAAATGCCACACATACAAATACAGACATCCAGCAACAGAAAAATGGGAAAAGGACAAAGACCGGGGAGAGGGACAAAGCCCAGAAATGCCAACAGAGGATAGTACATTAATTTCTCCACCCCATAGAGAAGCTCTATGTAATCTAAGACTTGGAGGAAAACATCTGGTCAATTGCCTTTCCTCTGCTTCCGTCTCTCTCTCACAGACACACAGTCCCATATTCCACAAATACCCAGCCTGATCTGCATGGTTCATTTTAGCACCTGCTCTTGAAATGAGATGTTGGTGATAAGTCCCATTCAAACCATTGATCCTGGAAAGAAGGGACAGCAGTGTTCCTTGCCCCATCTGCTGCTTATATATGGGGATGGGGGCCTGGGGAGATACTCACACGTGAAGTGGGAGGTAATGAAGAGGAAGGAAGTGCCGAAGAAGGTGAAGCAAACTCCGAGGGCCCCCTTGGTCTTGATCTGAGACACAATGCGAGTTGTCACGGTGGCATATTCCACCTCTGGAAGGAAGGAGGGAGAGAATGCCTGTCACAGGTAATGCACCCAACTCCTGGCCAACCCTGACCTCTGGCATAAACCAAGATCACAGGCCAGTGGTGGTGGTTAAACAAGGGACTTTCCTTCCAAAAAAAGTTGAAGCTTCTGCTTATATTGGTGCAGATTTCATCACATTGAAGAAAAACAGTAACAACCGACCCCTGGGTTTGAGTCATTTTAATTCTGTTGGATATTGCGGTTTTATGGGCATTTTTAAAATTAGATTGATTATAAATGGTTAGTTTCTCTCTCTCCTATCTCCCAGTCCCTACTTCGGAATGGTTTTCTAGGATTTGGGATATAGCAGTAATGTATAATATAAATTAATTTATTGTAACCATGCATGGGGAAATATTCTGTATGAATTACTGAAAAAAAGAGCAATTTTAATTTTGGTTTGGAATTAGAAGTTTGGAGAAGACATTAAGACCCTGTTTATTATTAATGTTACTTTAAAAAGAGTAATATATTATCTGCACATTTTTTTCTCTTTTTGTCCTATTCTGTGAAACATAGTAAGAACGAGAAAATATTATGTATGGTTTAATTTAATTTGCTGGAAGCTGCCTTGACCCCTAAAGGATAAATAAATAAATACTGTCCCTAAATAAATTTAAATCCAGCTTGATTAGATTTAATACTTATACCTTGCTTTTCTATCCAAGTAATAATCAAAGCAGCTTAACAATGCAAAGCAACGAAAAACTAACTAATAAACTGAAACTGATACGGGGACAAATAGAAGAAAACACCTTCACCCCGGTATGGCTCCCCTTTATCACATACACAGCCCAACAAGACGACAAGAATCCACCAATAGCATACAAATCAATATGGTTAACTTGATGCAAAAACACCCACCCACCCCACTCACACATGAAAACAAAGTTCACCATGGCCAATCACAAACAAACAACCACACCCTAGGCCAACCCCAGCCTCTCTCACCACCAAAGGAACACAAACAAATAGTAACGAGAACCCACAAAACTGATGCTGACACAAAACCCCACCTATACACTAAGTAGAAGCATTGCCACCCACCCCCACTCCCCTCACCCATTCCCCCCTTCACCTCTTTCCCCCTTTTCTTCCTAATATAACAGTAATGTCTCATCAAATGAAACTGATCTGTAGAAAATGTAACTTGAAAAAAGAGACATTGCACATACTTTTGTAAACCAAGAAACCTTTAATTAAAAATATGTTTAAATTAAAAAAAATGCAAAGCAACAAAAATACTAAAACTACATAATCAAGATCAACGATAAGAAATTCAATCCATAAATGACTTAAAACTTTTTTCAAAGACCACCCAATTGGCAAGCCCCACCTGAGCAGAACCAGATGAGGTCCCTCCGCAGGAAAACTGACATGTAGAGCACACCGTGAGATGCCGCAAAGAGCATGACGTAATGGGGGCCCAGCGTCTCCTGCAAGCGGATCTCCCACTCACGCCTGGCAGGGGGAAGCAAAGGAAAGGAAACCTGTTGCGTGAGCTTCTCCTCACCCAGCCTTGAACTCCACCAGACATGTTTCAAAAAGGCTTGCTAGTGACAAGTGTCAGGCTCATTTACATGACATGGGGTGTCTGACACTGTTCTAAAAAGTGCAGGGAATCCTCAGCAGTGCCCCCAGATTTAGGTTGTACCCAGCTAAGTCCTACTCAGAGCAGACCCACTGAAATAAATGAACGTAAGTTAGTGTCATGGACTGGCTGGATGCAGAGGAGTGGTGGGAGGCAACAGCTGGGGAACCCCTTAGGGAACCCCTAAGGGAGGAAGGCTCAGAGCCAAAGGATTTGTGCTGAGACTATGATGAGTGGTCAGAGGGAGAAGGAGCAGGCTGGAAGGAGGAGGTGTCCGCAGTAGGAGAGGTGGAGGGTTTAGTGAGCAGGAAGAGGCTGTGGCAGAGGGCAGTTCAGACTGAGGCTTAAGCAGATGCTAGAGAGGAGAGGGGTCAAGAGGCTGCTGAAGAATACAGGGAATCTCCGCCTCCTGCTGCGACCAGCTCCCCTCACCCGGTCTTTGAGAATGCACAGAGAAATGAAAAGAGCAGTGATTAGTTGTGTGCAGACGCAGTTTGTGACTGCGTGGGGAAAACTCTGGAAAGAAGAAGTCTTAGAGAGGGGTGGGAAGGCAGGAAACTTTAGTCCTTGCAACTGCTTCACTGGGGCAAGACCTCCTAGGAAATGTTGCTGAGACCACTAAGCCTGAGCTCTGTGGCTCGTTTCCTTGAATAAAGATTTAACTTCACTGGCCTCGGGTGATTTGTTTTTTTGTTTGTTACTGACCTACGCCTGACTCAAGCCCTGACAGTTAGCCATGTCCATCAGCTTAAATGCATCTACTCTGAGTAGGACTAGTACTGGATGCAACCCCAGACTTCTGAATCCTTGCAAGGAACTCTCCGCTCCGCCCACAACAGAGGCGAGGCAAAGGCCTCCTGCCTCCCAGGAGCCCCGGGGCCCTTATTTCTGACACTGACAATGATCCAAACTGAAGAAACAGGGTACACTTGCATCAGGCAGCAGGAGGTCTGTACTGGCTATACTCTACAAGGGGAGCATTGCCCTGCATGAGGTCATGTGGCAGTGCTCAGCTACAGACTTTGACCCCTTGCAGGCAAACCACCCTCTGTGCAGTGGGTGGGGGTTACGAGGCCAAAGCCAGCTTCTCTTGGTTTCCATACCTATCTGGGCAGCCTTCTTGGATCCCTATCACATACATGTCCTGGGCAAAGTCAGGGCCTGGCGGCAGCAGGAAATCATCCAACACCTCAGGAAGTTCCTGCAAGACAAGGAAGACTTTTCCAAACTCTAGGTGAGTACTGTACTTAAGTGGGAGGGTGATAGGGAAGGAGAAGGAATGGACTCTCAAGGACACAAGCGCCAACAGGTTAAGGGGATATAACCAGCAAGCTGACCACAAATCAATCCCATGCAGGTTCATTAAACCAATAGAGTTCTTTAGGTTTACAGACACACATCATGCACTCCAGGTGTGCTTCCAATAAAGTTTCCATAAAGGTACAAAACAAGTTCAAAACAGGAATCATAAGGTGGCACCACCAGGGAACGTTTACACTTCTTAAGTGGCACATGTAAAATGTCACAAGGGATGTGAGCAGGAATGATCTACTCTGCCATCTTGCTTGCTGTATGTGGGCAAAGCTGTTATTGTGACCAGATTTGCAGGATGTGCATGACAGAGGGAGGAAGAGGCTTCCCAGACAATTTTGGAGACAACTATGCATAGAAACATAAGAAGCCGCTTGATACTGAGTCAGTCCATCTAACTCAGTATTGTCTACAATGACTGGCAGTAGTGGCTCTGCAGGGTTTCTGATGAGACATTCCCAGTCCTGCCTGAAGATGCCGCTGGAGATGGAACCTGGGACTTTATGCATGCAAAGCAGGTACTCTGCCATTGAGCTATGATAGCCCTTTCCAAATAAGTATTCTTGACTTAGCCAGGCTCCCTGGGTCAAAGGCCAATCACCAGGCAAAGCCCCCAGCCAGCCCTCTTCTTCCCTCACCTTTTGGCCCTGCATATTCCAGGTGGCAACAAAGATGCCAATGTTCCGGTCAGGAAAATACCGGTTCAATTCCTCTGCTCCCAGCAGTGCACCAGTCGCCAAAAGGCTGCCTTCCAAATAACTTCTGTAGGGAAAGATAGTGCATTGTTATTTCTTTTTTAAAAATAATAATTATAAATTTGCTTCATTTGAGGCCGAAGTGAAAACTGCCCAGTGATGCAACCGCACTAATGTCCTGCCTGGGTGGGGTTTCTATACAGGTGGAGGTGTGCTGTGCCACACCCTGCACTCTTGTGCTTGAAAGATGGGTCTGGAAACAGAACAACAGCTGATGAGGCCACTGGGATAGTGAAGGAATACACTCCTAAAACCCAACACATAACCTGTTCACTGCATTCAAGACCAAAGAGAGTCCCATTGAGAATATGCAGCAGTAAATCAAACTGTAAGATGTAATTCAAGCATGTGTCACTATGGCCAGATCTGCACCCTCAAGGCGCTGGCTGGCATGTCAGTCTAAGTGGAGCCGGGGCCTTGCTGGCCAAGGCTGTCACCTGGACAACTGTAATGCCACAATCCGCTATCCCAGATTGCTTTCCTCATTCTTTCTTCCTTGGGAAATGAAAAACAAAACAAAAACAGAGTTTGGGAAACATCCTATGAGAGTCAGGGAAGGCAGGCAGGTGGGGAATTACCTAGTTAAAAGGTAGTGCCCTTCTATTATGTACTGGTGTAACAAAATATAGCAGGATGCTGAATCATAAATACTACTGGGAATCCTGTAAAATATATTATGTACTTCTATTTATTTGCTCCCCCCCCCTTCATTCCTTTCTTCTTAGTGCTTCTTAGTGCTATTTATTTCTTTTTGTGTGTATATATATTCATAAGCTATGGGAAATAAAAAGATGAAGGCAAATGAACTAAAAGTTTAAATAAATATATTCTGAAAATCTAAGGGGCCCTTTCAGGAAAGAGATGAGAATGGGTTATCAGATTCCTGCTAACTCCTGTTCCTAAGTCTTTCCCTGGGACGACCTCAGGGATTTTTTATTCCAACAGAAAATTCCGTCCCCACCTCACTGAGCACTCAGTGAGAATTAGCATAAGTGTACCTGTGGAGGAATGCTCCTCATGACTCCCCCTCTTGACCTCCCCCCACGCTACAAGGACCCTACCTGTTCCGCACATCCCTGACGCGGATGGGGGTCAAGAGACTGAAAGTGGACTTCATGGAGGTGGTGGAGCAGTTGTCACAAACCATCCCGCGGCTGTGGAGCCTGGTGTCACTCCAGCTGCTGCCTGCCCTTGGAAAGGCACTCTGGGAGCAAAGCCTGTAATCCGCCCAATCTGGGTCGATCCTATTAGTTGTCCTCAGAGAAGGGAAGGAGCCATCAAACTCCAGAGGGGGCGGAGGAAGGGTGGGCATCACTCTAGACAGCTTCCCATGCAAGTTGCCATGCCTGGTGGGGGGCGCCTCCGAAGCTTTCTGCAAGCCACAGAGGGATTCCTGGTCACAGTGCGAATTGCTTGTGGAGGCTGCCATCTGTCCCAGAGGATTCTCCCCTTGGAGGGATCCATTGGAGGAGCCCATCTCAGAGGGATCCACCAAGCTGTCTCGGCTCATCCTGAAGAGCCTCCTCCTCCGCCAGATCAGTTCATCGAGAGAAGAAGTTCGCTCAAGTCTTGGGGGCTTGCGGGGAGGCTTTGGGGTGAATGACCTGAGCTCCGCGTGGGCCTGGAACCCTTCTAGATGGCTTTCCAAAGCGTTGTTGAAAAAGGAAGCCTGGATTTCTTGCTGGTGCTTGGAGAGGAAATCCACGTTGTCACCCGCCTCCTGTCTGGCAGCCCGAGCAGCCTCCTTGGGTGGTATGTTTTGTGGTACTTTGTCCTCAGGGTTTGGTGTGTGCTCCATTGTCCCCTAGGAAAATCCATTGGATATCCCATCTATGCGGAAGTCAAGGCAACAGCCTAATGCATGTTTTCCTGAGTGGGAAAAGAACCCCAATCAGGACACCAGTGTCAGGAACGGAAGGCCCGTTGCCTGAATATGAAGATGCATTGCTGGGATCCACCTAAGAATAAAATAACAACAACAATAATGTATTTTGTATTTATTTATTTATTTTTTTAAAAAAAGATTAGCCAAGATCTCCAGGCATTATTAAAGGCTTCCCACCTGAAGCTCCCAACCTCCACATAGGATCTCTGCTTTCTAGAATAACTGTTTTTTATTAGTTTTTACAGGAGTGCTTTTGGTGTTTTATGTTGTTATCGTGTTGGACTGTGAATATGACATTCTGGGCTCCCTTTAGGCAGGACAAAGGTGTAACAAGCAAATAATTTAAATATATTATTGATTAGCCAGGTCACTCCCATTTGACAGGTGGCCAGCTGAGACTGACTCGCAAGTCAGGAACCTGGGATGAGGGTGCATCAGTTGATTCGGGGTGCTTTATTTCCACAGCCTGCAACTGTGTGGGAACACCGTCATGAGCAGTGACAGTGTTTGTGTACACAGAATCTGCCTGGCAGCAGCTGTTCAAGTCTAAAGCTCCGGAAAGGTGCTGCCACTCTAAGGCTCAGTCACGCCCCTCCGTTTCTCAGAGAAGCTGCAAGGACCCATAGCTACAAGCAAACAGTTTGACTCAGCCAACACACCTCTTTCCATAGCAGGTTTTCTCAGGGATTGCTTGAATCAAGAAATATGAGGTTGGCCATCAATGTGGCCCAATGTTTGGGAAGAAGACAGGACTGGATTCAAGACCTGCTTCTTCTACAGCCGCTCTTGCTTAGCCTCTTTAGCCCTGTCTATAAAATGGGAATAGCAGCTGCCTCTGTAGGCACAAGAACACTAAGCAGCAGTGGCTTAAGGCCTTTGTCAAGGCAGTGATCCAGAGCTCAAAAGGAGGGATGCCAGCAGAACAAGGGCCTGTTTTGAAACTGTAAAAACTTTAGCATACACTGTGAGTTTCAATAGGATATTTAAGCAGCTACCCAGCTAAGTTATACTAGAGAGTAGAGCGGACCCACTAGAGGTTAATGGAACTAAGTTAGTCGTGTCCACTATTCTGCAGTGTGTGTTTATACATTTATATTGACCTAAAAAATAAAATGCTGCTGTGATACAGTATTTCATACAACCACACACACACACACACACACACACCCCAATGCATGTAAGCACGAAATAGAACTCTACCAAAGTTTCCGCTGGATCCCTTTTAGAATTGCGGTTTGTCACCAAGATAATATATATGTCATTGTGATTAACCAACAAAAAATATCATTTGTATTAAAGCAGCCGATGAAGGTGCGATTCAAACCGTTTCCATGCATATTATTCACAGTAATAATATGTAACACAGTAACATGCGTATACACACACAACGTGCGTTGAGACACCCTGTCCCGGGACAAGCCCCACCCGCATCCTCTTCCCTCCAGTCCCACCCCCCGCCTCCATCAGCACCCCCAAACCTGCAACCCTCTGAATGAGGCCAGGCCGCTTTCCTCCCCGGCCTCTCGTCGCCGCTGCCCTCCTCTGCCTCCTCCTGCGGGGCCTCCCTGCTGCTCCTCCCAGCCGCCTCACTCCGCGAGGGGAGCCAGAAGCTCGAGTCCTCCTCGGAACCGCCGCCTCAGAGATGGGCCTAGCGGCGGGGACTCCAATTCCCATCAGCCCCTGCGAGGGCGGCCAATGGCAGGCCATGACGGGAGTTGGAGTTCCGAAACACCTGTAGAGGTGTCCTGGAGGGGGTGTCTTCCCCACCACGGACCACGACGACGAGGGCTTTTAGTACTTTAAAATAAATGGATACTGCCTTTCTATCTTAGAAACAACAGCAACAATAGTAGTAGTACTTTATATAGTATGGCACCACTTTTACCGGTTTTTCAACCTGTGGGTACCCAGATGTTGTTAAACTACAACTCCCATCACCCCTAGCTAGCAAGGCCAGAGCTCAGGGGTGATGGGAGTTGTAGTCCAACAACATCTGGGGACCCACAGCTTGAGAACCGCTAAAAGTGTCCGTGGTACATTGTGTGAGGGATCCCTAAGTTAGTCCTATACTGCAGTCATGGGCTTTAAAAGCAGGATCACCTCTGTGGCCCTCCTGGGATTACTGGACTCAAACTCCCATCAGCCCCTGAGAACACATCCAATGGCCAGGCATGATGGGAGGTGTAGTCCAATAACACCTGAAGGACCACAGCTCTCCCCCTGCTCCTCTCAAATTCAGGGTTTTACTCATTTACTACATTTATGTTCCAATTCTCCCACTTCGATCTTCACAATGACCCTGTGAGGTAGGTAAGGCTAAGAAGGAGCCACACGCTCCAGCTGGCTGTATCCACTGTTAGCTTCTACTCAGAGCAGACCCACTGAACCTGATTGGACACAACTATCGGCAGTGTATTGATTTCAGTAGGTCTGCTCTGAGCAGACGGCAATCCTAGTTTTCCAGCTTTTTTATTAGCATTATTTAAAACATGGTGCTGAGGGGGAGATGCCTATGGTTCTACTGTGGCGCATGATAGGGTCTTCTGTTGTGACCAGCCCCTCCCCTTTGGAAGAGATATACTTTGAGAACCCCAATTCTTCTGCGTGACCCCCCAATAACCACAAGCCAAGTAAATTGTGAAACGTGCTTCAGAGCACAAAATATTTTATTTTTTTAAAGAATGTACAGTGTGTTGATTCTAACATTTAGAGAGGACAGGGAGAAGGCTCTCTGTGCCAAGGAAAACCTCTTGAGCTGAGAACATGTTTTGGCGGGTCCACATGAAAAGACACAGAATCAGAGACAGCTGCACAAAAAGGGCAGAATGGCCAGTGGGGCACAAGTATTTGAGAAGACTTGGAAGGTAAAAAAAGAAGCAGCCATCATCACACTGTTAGCAAAAAGTCCAGGGCTCTTGAATGTGGATCGTTAACAATTCCTCCTGAACACAAGTAATCCCTTCGTCACATATTTAAGGCTTTCCAGGTTCCAAATATGTGGATTTAACCCATAAACACTCCAGTCAATATTAATAAATCAGTAATAATAATCATGATTTATTTATATGCTGCCCATCTGACTGGGTTACCCCAGCCACTCTGGGTGGCTTCCAACAAATTAAAACACAATTAAGATCAAACATTTAAAATTCCCTATAGAGGGCAGCCTTCAGATGTCATCTAAAAGTCAGATAATTGTTTATTTCTTTGACATCTGATGGAAGAGCATTCCAGAGGGAGGGTGCCACTGCTGAGAAGGCTCTCTTCCTGGTTCCCTCTAACCTCACTTCTCGCAGTGAGGGAACCACCAGAAAGCCCTCAGAGCTGGATCTCAGTGTCTGGGCTGAATGATGAAGGTGGAGATGCTCCTTCAGGTATGCAGGGACAAAGCCGTTTAGGGCTTTAAAGCACCAACACTTTGAATTGTGCTCGGAAACGTACTGGGAGCCAATGTAGATATAATTTGGGACCAGTGTTATATGGCCCCAGAAGCTGCTCCCCATCACCAGTCTGGCAGCCGTATTCTGGATTAGTTGTAGCTTCCGAATCACCTTCAAAGGTAGCCCCACATACAGCACATTGCAGTAGTCCAAGCGGGAGAAAACCAGAGCATGTACCACTCTGGCGAGACAGTGTGCAGGCAGATAGGGTCTCAGCCTGTGTACCAGATGGAGTTGATAAGACAGCTGCCCTGGACAGTGTTGATCTATGCCTCAATGGACAGCAGTGAGTCCAAAATGACTCCCAGGCTGCACACCTGGTCTAAGGAGTCCAGTTACCCCATTCAGAACCAGGGAATTCCCTGCACCTGCCCACCCTCTGTCCCCCAGAAACAGTACATCTGTCTTGTGAAAATTCAACCTCAATCCATTAGCCGCCATCCATCCCCCAACTGCCTCTGGACACCCACATAGTATGTTTACCACCTTCATTGGTTCCGATTTAAACAGGAGGTAAAGCTGGGTATCATCCACATATTGGTGAACATCTAGCTCAACCCCCCTGATGATCTCTACCAGTGGTTTCAGTGTTAAAAAGCATGGGGGAGAGGACAGAAACCTGAGGCACCCCACAAGTGAGTGCCCAGGAGTCCATTCACTTCCCACTCCTTTCTGGACACAGTGCAGGAGGAAGGAGCTGCATAACAGTGCCTCCAACTAAACATCTCTTTCATCTCTTCAGCATAATTGGTTGTGGTGGGTGAGTGAATTGGCTCCATCACTACCAGAGCAAATCTTAACCCAGCACATAAATAAATATTTAAGTCTCCCTCCTGTTGGGGTTCTGTCAAGCTTAAGAGGGTGTGAGTGTGGCCTACTTCAAAGGGAAGGTTGGCTGAATCAAAATCTGCTTGATTTAATAGAATACCACAGTGATCCTGATCATGAAGTAAGAGAAAGACCCTCCCCCACTTAAAGAACAACAACCTTTAAACCATTACTGCATTAATTTAGAGATTTATAACCAAGAGTTTGAGAGAGAGAGAAAGAAAGAAAGAGAGAGATATATTGCACTTCAAGAGGAATCGCCAGAGAGAGAAGAGCATCATCTACGATATAAAGAGCTTCTGGGAGTTGTTTGTTTTTTTAACTATACAGTGGCTGCAGAAGGAGCCTAAACACAAACTACATACATACTAGAGAAAATCCACTTCCAATTAATTTTTAATTACAAATCACAGTTTTCCTTTTTCCTTTTTAAATTCATTATACATATATCTATTTGGATGAGCTATGTTTCCTGCCTCCCACTCAAAGGGAGGAGGTGTATTGTGGGAGAAAGGTCAATATGTCAAGAAAAATCCCAGCCAAATATCTCTTAAATGCTTCAGGATAAGCAACAAATGCAGGCTGGTGGTTTTATATGCATAAAACTGTGCCCCAAGCCCTGTAAGGCCACAAACTGCAGTGTTAAACGTGACAAATATCCCCCTAAATATTGGGAAAGAGCTCCCCTTTCCTAAAGCATTCAGAAACCACTGAAGAATATATGGATTCCAATCAAAGTCAGCCAAAGGGTGGGGGGAGGACAGCCCTCTCCCCACCTCTCTTTTGATTCTTGCAGCAGAGAGTAGCCATTTCATTACTGGGGATTTGTCTCTCTCTGGAGTTAGAACACTCCAGCTGGCTTTTACGTAACGGGGTGCATTTGATGACTGATGCAAGTCAAGAGTCTCAGTGGGAAAAGCCACCAAAACGAATCTTCCCCTCAATATGAGAGAGGACAGATTCTGTACGTGGCATGGGATTTTGAGAAATTCTTTGTAAATTCATGTGTGACGGCCCAGGTGACAGACTTGCTGGGTGCTATTTTAAGGTGGGGTATTTTCTCTGTCCAATTCTGCCATGTCTTGAGTTTCCTGAAGCTGCAGCAGACTGGAAAAAGACAAGAAATAACAAAGCTGAATCCAATTTCTACCTACACAAGAGAAGAAAAAAATCAACAACCCACAAACAGAACATTTTATTTATTTATTAAATTTGTACAGCGCCCTATACTTGTATGTCTCAGGGCAGTTCATACCAGGGACATTTTCATAAATGTATGGGAACACTACTTCCCTTTGACTCCAAGTTGAATAGATAAACTCAAAATGCAAAGTATCTGGAATTCTGTGCCAAATCAACCTGAATCCCCAAAGCTGAAAGGCTTTTGCAAAAGCATCCCCCAAGCAAACCGGTGGGCTGAGGTGAGACACAAAGAAACGTCTCCTGGTCAGTGGTTCCTCCAAATGTTGCAGGACACCAACTCACAACACCTAGGGAGAATTTGCCAAGCCAACTTAGGCAAGCTGTAGTCCAGCAACACCTGGAGGCCCAAAGGTTTCCCGCCACTCCCTGCTCTTGACCATTTACTCACCCCACCCCCAAAAGAATATAGGCTTTGCTCAGGATGTAAATTATGGGATGTTTTTGCAGCAACTCCTCTGTGACCCTCATAACTCCCATCTGTAGAATGGGCAGAAGAGGGAGGATCTCCCTTACCAGGGGGCATGTACATGTGTTTTTTGTGTGTTTCCAGGAATGAACAACGTTACCTGCACAAACTGGGAAGGGTTGTAAAACTGGACTGTGCCGGCTGGGGGTCCTCCTGAAGGTGGCTGCAGTGGAGAAGGAGAGCTTTCCATTAGTGAGATGCAAACAAAAAGAGACATCACCGTTTCTTACCAAGTTCATTTTGTGCACTTGACAGATGGAAGGAAGAGGTTGCATAACACTGCCAGCGCCCCCAAGTAGGTGCAGAGCAACAGAAGTTTGTTGTTATACATGGATGGAAACACACAAGACACACACACAAAAGGAACTAAACCCACGCATTCTTGGCCCTCCCCCCCCCCCCAGCGCTTCAAGAAGTTTCCCACATTGTCAACAGCAGCAGCAGGGTGCAGGGTCATCGCCAAACCAAGGCACATGCACAGACCCAAAATGACTTGCTTGCTTGGGGCATGCGGGAGGAAGAGCAGAAGGGGTTAATGGTGGCCAGTTGCTTGAGGAAGCACCAGCCAGCAACCTGCATTAGTGAGGCTTATGCCTTGCTTGAGAACCGCATGGTGGACTCGCCCCAATTCATATTATCCGAGGAGGCCCCCCCCCCCCCCGCAGGAAAGTTTAAGAAGCATTTGGCTTCTCCCTCACAGAGCTGGGGGAAAGACTTTTGCACTCCTTGCATTTTAAAGGCTAAGAGGCCCAGATGAAGAAAACCTGCTTTGGAGGCTCCTCCAAACGTAAAAGGCCTTAACCCAGACAGATCGATTATCAGATCATTTCGATCTCCAGAAATTGCGCTGTTAGAAGCACCACAGCGTCCATTCCACATTTGTGAAAATTCAGTCTTTTAGTGTGGTAGGAACTCTGGAACTCCCTGCTTATTGGTGTTAGGAAGGCGCCCTCTTGCTCTATTGCTTTAGATACCTGCTGAAAACTTTTCTGCTTCAGCAAGACTATCCAGACCCGTTTGCTTGTTTCATAAAAATTATACACCTCTCAAATGTAAAAAGAAAACGCTGGTGACCAAATGAGGTGACAGATGTCGCAGCCAGATCGTGCCCTCACATCCAAAAGGAAAACCTCAAAGCAGTTTACCAAAAATTAAATAAAACAAAAGAATAAAATTGACACTAAGAAGAATTTACAGTAACAATTTAGGAATTTCAAAAATGTAAAAATAGCAGTAGACTAAAAACAGATTAAAACTTGCATCAACTTTCTAAACATCTGGGCAGGCTCATCTAAACAAGAATGTTTTAGCAAGTGCTGAAAAGAGTACAGGAAAGGTCTGACATCAATAGGCAGGGGGTTCCAAAGTGCATTGGTGCTATCTGACTAGGAGATCCAAGTTCTTACAAATGGGAAATGGGTATTATGTGGCACCTGTAACAGTGCCTGTTCTGTTTATAAATTTTCGAAACAAACCACCACACAGAGGCGGCTAGTGACGTCTTGGCCCTGTGGGCGGAACCTCCAGCCTGGCTCTCCTCAGGTCAACACCTCCCCTGCAAAGCATCACACAGAGACCAGAGTGCTTTTGGTACATCTGATGCACCACCACGCAGTGGCTGTAAAAACCTTGGTCTGCCACATGCCCTCTTTTGCCCAGGGAATCAAGGACTTTCAGAGAGAGAGAATTATTTTTAAGCAGAACAGCAACATGTCCACTTGGGGATGGCGCATGTTCCAGGTCCCCAAGTATCACTCCCCTTGTACAATAGCCTTCAGCATTATGGTGCTAACTCTACTTCAGAGGTTGTAGGACTACAACTGCCATCACGCCCACCCACTGTTAGGGACCATGGAAGTTGTAGTCCAGCAACTTCTGGAAGGCACCAAGGTTAGAGGAAGCCACTGCAATAGTATTTGAAGGGCAGTAAAAACTCATATCTGAGTGTTTGACATGAGGAGAGTTTAATTTGCTGGGTTCTTCAATGCTGCTCTTGAGTCTTTGTTGCATTGGTTTCAATGTTCTTTGTGTTAAGCTTTAAAGATTCATCATGTTTATCTTTATGCTTTTCCTGTTTGAAGTACAATGCCCTGAATATTCATATCAAACACTGTCTAAATCAGCCTTCCCTTTAAGCTGTAGTTCAACGCTTCTGGTTGGGGAAGGCTGGTCCAAGAATTCCAACAAATAAATATGGGGGGGGGGTCACCACCGTATTTTGAGGAGTGGAATAAATCCAGCTCTCAGTCCTGAGTTATTTCTTCCTGCAAAGACTAAGTAAGTTGCGTCCGTCCCCCAAAGAAAGAGGTGGAATGTCCAATGCAGTCAAAATTCTCAAAGGGAAGGATTACTAAGAGAGGAAGGAGCCCAGCTAAACTTGGATCACAACTGCGACTCTCTAAAGGCAAGGAGGAATACTTCATCTTTGTGGCCTCATGTTAGTCCCATGAAATGCAGGTAGGAGAAGATGTGTATTAAAAAGTAAAGCAAACATAAAAGGGGGGGGGCAGAGAGAGAGAGAGAGAGAGAGAGAGAGAGAGATATGAAGGGTAGGGAGGATGAGGAGAGAACTCAAAGAGGGAGAGAGCCAGGGTTAAGGAAGGATGGCCAGCCAAATGTACCTGATTAAAATGCTGGCTTACTTCACGTGATAATGAGCTCATTGAGCTAGAGCGCGAAAGCTACAAAACAGCAAAAACACACACATACACACACACACAACAACACACACAAAAAAAGGGAATCAAAAAGTCATCATGCAGGCTTCTGCCTCAAGCTCTCTGTTCTCCTATTTTCAATAAATGGGGTGGAGAAAGGACCTTCCGGCACCAATGGTTAAATGATATGAATTACAAAAGGAGGTAAGTTAGCTTAAATTGCAGAAATAAAAAATAAAAGGGCAGGAGAGTAACTTCTTTGGTTAAACACACCCAAGATGCAGCTGGTAATGGTGCCTGCCTACGATTTGTAAATCTAGTGGGGTTACGGTTATGCATCTGCATTGGCATTTAATATGATAAACCACACACATGCACAGAGGGGGAAAGAGGAGAATCTACCACCCTGCCTTTTCACATAAAAAAAGAAACTTCCTCCACAACCTCCTTCCTGTGGGGAAAGGCCACAGCTCAATGGCAGAGCAACTGCTTTTCATGCAGAAGGTTCCAGGTACAGGCCCCCATGGCCTCTCCTGGCAGGGCTGGAAATGTCCCTCCTTGTATGAAAACCCTGGAGAGTCACTGCCAGTCAGTGTAGACAATACTGAGCCAATGATAAGGCAGACTCCTCTGTTCTTTTATGCAGAGACCTGTTCAATTAGCACCCCCCACGCCCACCCCCTGCCCAGCCTGAAAGAACAGCCTGCTGGAACAGACCAAAGGTGTGGCATTTAGTCCAGCCTCCTGTTCACACAGTGGCCACCCAGATGCCCCAAAGAGAAGTTCAAGAGCAGGATTTGAGCACAAGAACACTCTCCCTTCCTGTCATTTCCAGCAACTGGATTTCAGAAGATGACTACCTCCAAATGCCAAAACAGATCTGAAAAGCCTCTGCCAACTACTCCTGGTTCTGATTTTGGAGGTAACACAAAACTTCAGGGGCAAATCTGCTCATGACTCAGTTACCTGCTGCTGCTGTCCCTTTATCTAAGGGTTTAGGACTTGCCTGTAGAGGTCCCCCCACCCACTCATTTGGCCATGCAGACCTACCTCTCCAGGCTGGGAGTCCTCTGGGTTGGAGGGAGGGAGCTCAGAGCCAGGTGGCAACATGGCAGAATTTAAGTACTCCAGGGAGAAAAACAAAGAAGCAGAATTAGGTGGCAGAACAAACCAGGGAATGGGACCCTAAAGGCCCAGCAAAACGCTACCAACAATCCAAAGATCAATAGGCTTTTGAAAAAAATAGGTATTTTACGAAATTCTTTTCTTAAAACAGAAATCCTGCTATGGGACAAATCCATATCAGTCCCCAACAAGGGTTGTGTAACCTCCTAAAGACTTATAAGCGACATGCTGGATCAGGCCAAAGCGGGCCCATCTGGTCCAGCCTCCTGTTCTTCCAGTGGCAAACCAGATGCCTATTATGCCACAGGAAGGACCTGAGCACAACAGCAGCACTGCCCCCACATGTGTGGTCTGATTCAGAGGCACACTGCCCCTCCAGCATTGGAGGCAGAACATATCCATCAAGTTAGTAGCCACAGGCAGTCTTAATATTCTCTGAGAACATGTTAACACTGCAAATCCAACTTACTGAGGGTTCTGCAGCCACTCCAGGGTTGCTCTGGCTTCCTGGCACCAGCTGCCCTCCCACCCCTTTCTCCTCCAAAGGCAGCTGATCCTCTGGAACTGCAGGAGAGAGACCCCAAGTTAGTACACAAAACAAGCTTTGTATCTCTTCAGACAGGGTGGTTGCACCCAAAGGTGCGCATGGGAGAGGCCAAGACTGAGCAGCCCATTTTCCAAGGAAAAAAGACCACAAGCAAAGGATAACTCCTCTTTGCCCCTGAGAGTAGGTGGGACTAGCAAGTAGACCTTCCACCTGCTGCTGGACTACAACTCCCATCATCCATGATTATCAGCCATGCTGACTCAGGGGCTGATGAGAGTTTGAGTCCAACGTTGTTTGGAGGGAAACAAATTAGCCACCTCTGCACTTTAGAGCTTTCCATGATTTGCCAGAAAACAGCTGTCTGCGATAAAAAGTTTCACCCTCTAAACTGAATAGGGGTGGGGGTGGGGAGACTAATTGCTGTTTGTTAATGGGATGTTCTACACAGTGTCTACATTTCAGAGTTATGAAGCCATAAAAGATTGTTTGCTTCATATTGTATACTCTACTCTAAATATGTTTTTTAGTATTTTCATTTTTATGTTGTAGAAACTCATGTTTATTTAGCACCTTGGCTTTTACTTTTAGATCTATTGATCAATCGGGGAATATATTCTCTAGTGCTGGCTGTTCAAACATCAAGTCAACTGGTAAAGGAAATTTCAAATTTCAAGGAAGAACCAGAGAATTGTAGGGCTGGAAGGGAACCCCAAGGGTCAAATCCCACTTTTTAAAATTATTATTATAAAACCCAAGGCACCTAAAGAGAGCGAGAAATACTTATAGCTGCTGGCGAATCCACCCACCAAATGGCAGTTCCCATGAAGACTGTGAAAACTCATGACACTTTTATTTCCTCCTTTCCTTAAATAACAAGAAAGAGGCCAAACAAGAGGAGTAAGACTGACCCTCAAACAGTTATACAAGAGGAAGTGAGGGAGGCAGAGGAGGTGGGCTGGGGCAGGGAGAGGCCTCTCCAGGCTCGACTCACCTGAGTTTGGGACGAAGAGGTTTGCTGCGATGGGCATGGGGGCCAGGGGAGCAAAGAGGTCTGATGGAGCAGGGGGCGCAGCACCACCACTGGGTGACTTGGCCCCACCAGGGTTCAGGATGTCGACATACCGGGCTCTGCTTCCTGCTGGAAAGAGGCAAGGAGGAAAGCTTATCACCATGCAGTGATGGAGTCTGAAGGTTGAGATCAGGGAGTGGGTGGGTGAGGGCAACCAGGAAGCAAGAGCACCCTCCAAAAATAGTCATAATCACATTATCCAGAATGCGGCAGCTAGACTGGTGACTGGGGGTGGCCGCCGAGACCACATAACACCGGTCTTGAAAGACCTACATTGGCTCCCAGTACGTTTCCGAGCACAATTCAAAGTGCTGGTGTTGACCTTTAAAGCCCTAAACGGCCTCGGCCCAGTATACCTGAAGGAGCGTCTCCACCCCCATCGTTCTGCCCGGACGCTGAGGTCCAGCGCCGAGGGCCTTCTGGCAGTCCCCTCACTGCGAGAAGCAAAGCTACAGGGAACCAGGCAGAGGGCCTTCTCGGTAGTGGCGCCCGCCCTGTGGAACACCCTCCCATCAGATGTCAAAGCGATAAATAACTATCTGACATTCAGAAGACATCTTAAGGCAGCCCTGTTCAGGGAAGTTTTTAATCTGTGATATTTTAGTGTATTTTTGGTTTCTATGGAAGCCGCCCAGAGTGGCTGGAGAAACCCAGCCAGATGGGTGGGGTACAAATAATAAATTATTATTATTATTATTATTATTATTATTATTATTATTAGCAAGGGTCCAAGCAAACCCATTAAAACTAATGGACATTATTAACTTAGGTCCATTCATTCACAGAGAGCCAGCATGATGTAACAGTTAAGTGTTGGATTAGGGCCTGGGAGAGACTAGAGTTTGAATCCCCACTTGGCTATAAAGCTCAATAGGTGTGACCGTGGGTCAGTGTCACTACCTATCAATCTAATGTAGTAAGGATTAAAACAGAGAAGGAAGAGAACTATATACACTGCCTTGAGCTCCTTGGAGGAAAAGGTGGCATGTAAATTAAATAAATAAATGAATTTTCAGTTACTCTAAGCAGGACAGCTGGATTCAAGCTCACTAACGCTGGGAGTGTGAAGTGCGGAGAACAACACGTGCGAGTAGAATAGCCACGTAATGGTCATTCCACACTTGCAAAGAACCAATTCTTCAGTGTGGCAGCACCTACCCTGTGGAACTCCCTGCCCCTTGATGTTAGGAAGCCACCTTTGCTGTATTACTTTCAATTCCTGTGTTGTTGTTTTAAACTGTTTTTAAAACTACTCACTTTATATTGAAAAAACAACTAACAAAGTTTTTTGTTGTTGTTTTTTTTAAAACCTGGCCTTTGGTCATAATGGCAAAAAATAACTGCTTATCCAAGAGCAAGAATTGCAAGTGAATATGGAAATAAAATCTGGGAAAACTGGTTGCCCCTTATACATTATTGTCAGGAAAGTAACTGCCTACTCTGAGAGCAGATTCAAGTAGGTTTTGAGGTATGCAAGGTATTTTAAATAGGAAATACTGTAGTTCTGTGGGTTATTGTTAATAGTTGTCAAATAATAATTACACACACACATTTCTCTGCCTAATCCCTGCCTAGTAATTATTTGTTTCGCACATAATTTTGCGTAAGGGTAACAGACCTGACATGCAGCTTCTTGCATCTGTAATGACTGGCAAAGATGGAATCCTCTGCCAAGGACCGAAACAAACAAACATGTCTATTGTACATGCTATTAATGCCCAGAACACAGCTCACACCTGAACAGTTACCTGCTTTCCTGGAGAACATGTTTACGGAGCTGTTGGGAGGTCCTCCTGATCCAGAGGGAACTGCTTGAGGGACCTGAGGGAACCCTGAAGGAGGTGGAGGTGGTGGCTTGCTCTGGAAGTAGGAGGAAAACAGACCCTTGAAACCAAGGCCACCTCCTGGGGCAGGTGCATTAGGAAAGGAAACGAACTAAACTCTGCTCTTTGCTTGACCCCAGACTATCTGTCACATTCACATCATGCACTGTGATACCACTTTGGACAGTCACGGCTTCTCCTGAATAATTTTGCGAATTCATTCATGGTGCCAAGGGTTGCTGGGAGACCCCCTTAGACCCCTCGCAAAGCTATAGCTTCCAAAATGGTTGAACAGCCAATCCCTCTTTTACAGGGAACTCTGGGAACTGCAGCTCTGCCCAGTATTTACCTCTTCCTCCGGTTCATCCAAGTTGACCCACCGCTGTTTCTTTTCATCCCAGACAATCTAGGAGAACACATAGGAACTGGTTAGGAGGCAATCCAGGCAGGTTGTGCAGATGTTCAGTTAAGGACTCACAACCACTGGGATTCAGGGTAGACCTACCGATTTGTTCTTATCATCAGGGAGGTGAGCTTCGTTCTTGCCTTTCCCCATCAGCCAGCCAAGCCACGTTGCTCCACTCTGCAGGGAAAAGAAAAGAAAGGTAAGTCTTGCAAGAGGGTGAAGACAATGGCCCCGCCCCCAACAAACCCAGCCAATTGGAAAAGCTGGGGGCAGAGATGAAGCTGCTACTTTTACCTTGAATGCTGGCCTACCTTCCGAGGCTCAGGCTCTTTTTTGCTTGGCTTCCCTTCTGGGATGGGCGGTGGGGGCGGGGAGGGCTGCTTGGCTGCAGAGTTCCGCCTCTCGCGCCCAACAGAGTGCACAGAGGATTCTGAGGTGGTCCGGGATCGCACCCCGAAGCCCTGCAATTGTTACAAAAGGAACCAGGATAACATTACAACCCCAAAAGAGAAGGAAGCTTCAGCAGGTGCCAAGAGGTGTTGTGGGTCCCCTGTTAGTCTGGGTCCCCTGTTAGTCTGACTCAAGAGCAGATCCGCTGAAATACAGTGGTACCTCTGGTTACGAACTTAATTTGTTCTGGAGGTCCATTCTTAACCTGAAACTGTTCTTAACCTGAGGTACCACTTTAGCTAATGGGGCCTCCCACTGCTGCTGCACTGCTGCATGAGTTCTGTTCTCATCCTGGGGCAAAGTTCTTAACCCGAGGTACTACTTCCGGGTTAGTGGAGTCTGTAACCCGAAGTGTTTGTAACCAGAGGTGTTTGTAACCAGAGGTACCACTGTAGATGGATGGATGGATGTTGACTAACTTTGGTTGATCAGCTTTGTTAACTTTGGTTCGTCAGTTTCAGTGGGTCTACTCTTGAGTAGAACTTAGTTGGACACATCCCAAGGTTCATCAGGGCAGAGAAAAAGTTCCAATGCAGCATGGATGTGTGAAGAAAGAGTGAGATATTTTTTTAAAAGGGAGGAATGAAAGAGAGAGAGAGAGAGAGACAGACAGACAGACATATAGAGCGACAGAGGTAGGGAGTCTGCGCATGGCATACCATGTGAACTGAAGAAGACTGGGAGGTGGATCTGGATCGTCGGCCCGAGCCCTGCTTAGACACAAAGCCAGTACATCAACAAGCAAGCTAAGCCAACCTACTAACAGCGGATGCAGAGTCAGACCAGCACATTCTTCAGCCACAAGTTGAGCTTGTTAAGTGGGAAGGCAAAGGCTGTACGGTGAGCCTGATACAACAGGTTGGGAGTGGGGAGCCTTTGGCCCTCTGGAAATTGCTGAACTACAACTCCCATTAGCCCCAGCAAATGTGGCAAATGTGATGATGGGAGTTGCAAGTTTTCAGTTGTTTTAAACTGCTTTTAATATTGTGTTTTAAAGTTGCAACCCACCCAAGGACCTTAGGGTGAAGGGCGGGTAATTAATGTTTATAACAACAGTTCAGCAATATCCAGAAGACTATAGGAGCTCCACGCCTGTAACAGGTCTTGACTGGACTCCCCCCTTGACCACCTGGCTCCTCTGCTCTTGGCCACTCTTCAGTATGACTGTGTGGAAAGGAGGATTAGGTTATCCTGGGGGGGGGGGGAGGTGTCCAGAAAATCTGGCCCACACACCTAAAACAGAGGGGGCTACTCTGCCAAACAAACGGTCTTAGGAACATGAGAAGCTGCCTTATACCAAGTCCATCCAGCTCAGCGTTGTCTCCAGGGTTTCAGGCAGGGAGCCCTTCCCATCCCTACCTGGAGATGCTGTTAGGGACTGAACCTGTGTCCTTCTGCATTCAAAGCAGGCACTCTACCAATGAGCCACCTCGCCTTCTGCTTCAGCATGCCCCTGGCGTCTGAGCATGCACACAGCACACACAAACAAGGGTGGGGATTCACAGCACGCCTTCAATACCAGACCTTTTTTTTCTGGGCTGTACACAACAAAAAATTTTCTCAGTGTACACTCACTGAAATGAATAAGCCTAAATCAGTCATGTCCCATTAATTTCACTGGGTCTCCTCCGAGTATCGGGTTAACATTGGGTACAACCCTTTTATGTGTGTGCCAGATGAGGATGGCCACACACTCATCGTCAGCACAGCTAGCTGGGAGGACAGCACTTCCGAACGACAGATTCGAAAGCAGAACCCAGAAGCGGACCTCCAGATGCCCCTTTGCTTGGCCCTCGTACAAACCTGAGCTACAAACTGGAGAGGAAGGAAGGACAGAGCTTTCAGACAGGGTCATGGGTGGAATTTGGCTCCAAATTAATGGCCATTATGTGCTCCCAACAAAACAAAACGTTAAAAAAAGAGTAAGAGCAGGATGGATACCATGCTTGCCATCTTCCCATAGAAGTCATCCTCTCTGGGCTCTGGTCTGGCCTTCCAAGCTTGAGTCTCCTGGGAGCCGCCCTGCACTCCTGAGGCAGATATAAAAGACAGATCAGGATGAGTATGCAATGGGTTGGAAGGAGGCACAAGAATGATTGCATCAATAAATTGCATCAATGGATAAACCAGCTCAACGTTTGCTGAACTTGCTTTCACAGGAAGCAGTGATGGCCATCAACCTAGAGGGTGATGCTTTAAAGAGGACTAGACAAATTCATGGAGGAGAGAGCTAGCAATGGCCACTAGTCAGGGTGGCCACGATGCTCTGTATTCACAGCTGGGGGCAGCCATGCTTCTGAGCATCAGTTGCTGAAAACTACAGGAGAGGAGAGGGCTCCTGTGCTCAGATCCTGCTTGAGAGTTTCCCCAAAGGCATCTAACTGTCCACTGTGAGAACAGGATACTGAATGAGATGGGCTGCTGGCTGTGTTGAATCAAAGGTGAATTGTTTCGGAAGCTTTGCTAATGACATCTTGGCTGTCAAGATAACCCCACAATTAATTGGTAGTTGTTGCAGCAATGAGCTCACATATGTTTACAGTCACTTGCTTTTATAGAGGCTAATGATGCTTTGATGTTACCCTTATCTGTGAGGCTTGGGGTGCTGGGCTCTGAGCCCAGAAAGGGGAACTATCTTTAAGACTTGGGTATCTACCATCAATGCCCTCATCTAGTCAGGTGAAATGACATATGTTGCTTTGTTTATGAAGAATGTATGCATGTTTGCTTGGGTGTGGACAAGCCATCTGCTTGCTATGTTGTCTATCCTGCATCTGCAAAGGCTAGGAGAACTGGCAGGCTGCTTTGCTGTAAGTCTACACCTTCTCTAGAACTGGCCACTCTGATGTTTTTCACATTCTTCTTTAGCGTCCCTGCACCCAACCACTCCTACAAGCCCTTCTTTGGGCCTGCGTTTCAGAACATTGGTCAAGGGCTGGTTTCTTCTTATGTTCTTATGATATTTTGGTGTGGACATTCCATATTGTACGGCACTCCCCAATGTGACCGTAACTTTGCAGTGCAGGACATAAGCAAGTGATGGGGACCTTTGAAACATGTGCAGCTCTCCAAGAATGGAAAAAAGCAGAGAGACCCCTTTCTGTCACACCCCGCCCCTGCCACAATGCCAGGACAAACCTGCATCTTGGTTGAGCTGCTCCTGCAGCTGAAGCTCATTTGCTTGAGAGGATGGGCCTGTTTGTGGCACCATCCCCATCGTGGGGTATGGAGGGTTCTGCTCGGCTCCATAGGCATGGGCATAGCTGGGTCCTGGCCCTGTAGAAGGAGGAGCCGCAGGATAGAAAGGCGTATGGCCAGTAGCCTCTGAATGGGAAGAAGGTGCCGCAGTGACTGAGCTGTCAAGGATGGCCTGGGGAGCTATGGAGGGAGTGACAAAGAAGGTAAATGGACATCTAGGATGTTTGTAACCCACAACAGACTGGAGCCCAGAACAACTTTATGACAATAAAGATATTATTATTATTATTATTATTATTATTATTATTATTATTATTATAACTCACTATCAATCCAAAGAATTTTCCACCCCTCTTTGATGGATGAGAATATATTTGGGTCAATTTGCATCGCCAGAAGCAGCTCAGTGGCTGCTGACAGGTCAAACCTACCATCAATGAACTGCATGGGTTGTGGAAACAAGCTCCACCCAGGCAGCCTGTGTGCCTTGAGACATCATAACCAAAAAGAGCAAACTGGATCCCCAACCAAGTGATGACTACTGGCACAGAGGAGGAGAAGGCTAGCAGTGGCTACTAGCCACGATGGCTATGCGCTGCCTTCACAGTTGGAAGGAGCAACTGTATCCGGCTCTTGCTTGTGGGCTTCCCACTGCAGCATCTGGGTGGCTACTGTGAGGACAGGAAGCTGGACTAGTTAGGCCACTGGAGTGACTCATCAGGGCTCCTCTGATGTACTTAACACCAAACACAACACGGCCTTAAACTGGGAGCACAAAGGGTCGTGGGGAGCCCACCACCACATTCCAACAGTGGACACTGCTGACAAATGGTTCCCACCCTACAATTCACTGTTGTTTCTTATTCTCCCTGCCCCATCTCTGACCTCTCCCTACCCCATGAAACAATGGCAAGGAACACCCACCGGAAGGCATCAGCTGGACACTCGGCTGCACAGGGTGACCTGTGTCAGGAAGCAAAGAGGCCAGGAGTGGGTTGTCAGAGCCGGATAGCATCTCATGGCCAGCCCCCATCCCCTCGCTTTGACTGACATGGTCCAGTTCAGAGCTTGGTGTGCTGCAGGCATATTGCTGAGGTGTGGATCTCCCTGCGCTGTAAGCGATCCCGCCCTCCTGGGAGAAGAAAAAAATCAAAGATGGCAGTTTTCAACTGACAGACATATCTACATGTTTCCCTTTGCTAGGCCCAAGACCACCACTGCAAAAGGTTTCTAGGTTAAAGGCCCCTCTGTGACCTCCATCCCTTAGTCAGAGAGAGAGGAGCACAGGTCGCTGCCTTACAAAGAGTCAAAGCATTGAGCCCATCTAGCTCAATATTGTCTACACTGACTGGCAATGGATCCCTTCAGGGTTAGACAGGGTTCTTTTTCTTTTGTACAATGGTTCTTGAGATCAAGGAGCAAGTTTTGGTCTATGTCTGGAGACCCTAGGATGCAATTTTGAATCAAGATGGTGGATTGAACCTTTCAAAACTGATTTCGAAACTGCACTGGTTTTTCCTTGGTTTCTTAATATTCCTGAGCAACATGAGGTATAAGGCTGCTAATGTTTCCAAGCAACTCTTTAAAAATAAGGGAAAGGTTTTCAGCTGAAACCCTCAGCTCACTTCTGTTTATACTGCACAAAGCGGGGCTACACTGATTGAATGAACATGCTTGGGAATCTCACACACTGAACTTATGGGAGGACAGCATACTCACCTTGATCTGCCCATCTAAGCTTCGAAGTTGTACCAACCAATCAGGTTCATCAAAAAATTCCTGCTCAGGTTTCTCCCTTATCTGAGGGTCAAAGAGCCGCAACCGAGGGGAGATCTGTGAAGCAGAACCATTGGAAATGGTCAAAGGAGGACAGAGAGAAGGGAGCTTCTGGGACTGCTCTGTTGGGCCAGGCAACTGCAGCCACTTTTTTAAAGATTTACATATATTTATTTATAGTAATACATAACAAAGTATAATAGTGGATGCCAAATAAAACTAAATAAGACAAAAGTAGAACGGGATAGCTAAACATGTAGGAATAAATTTACATACTAAAATCCAAGATAATAAATTAACATCACAAAGTTTCAAGTGACAGAAATGGGTTAACATTCTCCTGTACCTTATTACTTCAGCACATTATAAAAAGACTCCATTTCCTGATGAAGACACTATCTTTTAGTCTGCCCTCTCTGGTTCTCACTATATATGTGAGCTTAACTATGTTAACTATGTCCCAGATTTTAGTTATCCATTCCTCATGGATGGTGTTCTCATTTCCTCCCCAGTCATGACAGATAATAATTCTGGCAGCAGGCAAGAGATGTTGCATCAATTCCCTGTCCTCTATTAGTACAGTTTCTTTAACATTTATGAATAGCAAAATCTGACGATCCATACGTAAATTATAGTCAGGTATTACTTAAATTTTCATTGCTGTATCTTCCCAGAATGTTCTAAGTTTTGGGACAAGTCCAGAATATATGCTGCATTCAAGCACAGACTGCAGTCATTTCTAACTTTATGTTTCCCTCTCCACTGAAGATATCCAGGGACTAACTGCTTATAGAAACATTAGAGAGGGCTGTGTGTTGTGTTCGGAGGGGCCTACCTTAACCAAGACACACAGCACTGGAAAAAGGCAGCTGAACCTCCCCCCCACCCCCAATATACTGTACCTGGATCAGCTGACTAATCAGGACCGGGGAATAGTAACAGGGGTTCTTGAGGATGGCTTTGGAAATCACTTCACAGTAATGGAAGGCCTGTGCGGCCAGCCCCACTTCGGCCAGTCGACAGGCATAGATAAACTTAAAAACCTGTAAGAAAGAGGATTTTGAATCTTAGGTGATTTGGGAGCATGGCCTTAGCAGCAGCAGCAGCAGCAGCAGCAGCAGCAGCAGCAGCAGTTAAAAGCATGAGGGTGCCTGGCCTAGACATGCTGCTTGCACAAGCAGCACCAATGTTCCAGAACCTCAGAGCTGTCATTTCTTCTCAAGCAGCCCAAACCTACAAGGTGCCTAGTGCCCAGCCCCTGCCCTGGCGTTCACTCCGGACTCTTCTCAACAGCTCATGTCTGGGTCATGTAACCTTCATAGAGAGGAATGTAACAGGGGACTTTGCCCCCTTATGAGGAAACACCCTTCGAGGACACCAGGATCGTGCCTGGAATAGCTTTCGGCTGATGCAAGCAAGTTAATTAAGAAAGGTATTTGTATGATCAATGTGTCATTAAAAAAATGAAAACGGGTCACAACAATAAAACCTTAAAAGCTTGCAATAAAAGCCATTAAAAAGGTTAGAAATAAGACAGCAATTAACAGTTGTGGAAGGATGTCTTCTTAACTGCCCATGTAGGGCTGGCAAAACAGAAATATTTTCAGCAGGTGTTAAAGAACAGGCTTAGTGGCCAAGTTCCTCTCCTCTGCTCAAATGTCTCTCAAGATCCGAGGGATAGCTCAGTCGGCAGAGCAAGAGACTTTCAATCTCAAGGTTGTTTGGTTTGTGCCCCACACTGGGCAAAAAGATTCCTGCATTGCAAGGGGGGAGGCTATATGACCCTTGTGGTCCCTTCCAACTCTACAATTCTAGGATTCTAAGGCGATGCTCTCATTTTAGCTGCAATTTTTTAATCTTAGGTTTCTATCTTTTGCTAAATCCTTTGTACCTGTATTACAATGCATTTTAAGCAAGCAGATGTTTTCATGCTCAGGATTTATCCTGTGTGTGCTCTTGTTTTAGCGAGTCTGTGATGGTATAAAAAAATGATCTGATCTCTCCACAGCTCCATGCATCCAACCTGAAACACTCCTTTCCCAGCGTCTGTGGCCACTCCCATCTTTTGCTTTTCCTTCCTCTCCCTCTCTCCTGCCCTGAAGCTGTGTGGCCCAGAGGGTGGGGTGGAGGTGGGGCTGGGGGTTGCCACCGCCCCCAGCACACACAAGCCAAAAAGGAGCTTCCTCCAGCACACATTCCCAAGAAAGGCTCCTGAACTGCAGGGGCAAGGTGCTCCTTTTCCATGCTTTCTCAGAACTTGAGCTGTGTTGCACATTATAAGCAAGATCAAAGTGGAAGGGGACAACAGCTGTCAAGCATTTGCAACCACTGCAAAACAACAAGGGGACAAAGAGCAGCCATCACCCAGGAGACTGAGAAGACAGGAGGCACCCCAAACCTGGAAATTGGGCAACGAGCATGGTTGTGTCCCCAGGGACTGCGCATATTCGTAGGCTTCTGTCCTTCGGATGGCTTCATTGGTGGAGAACTTTGAAAAAGGTGAACTGAAAGGTAAACAGAAGGGGGTGGGATAGGAAAGTATTTTGTGAATGAGACACAGGCACTTGACTTGAAGGCCATTTAGAATATGGAGGTAGAAAAAGGCGCAAGACCCTCTGGCACCCCTTGAACAGCTCCATCAGCAAATTTTATTGCCATGGCCCTTCTTTGGCCTCAGAGATAGAAACATGGGACAGGGGCAGAGAGACAAGCCGCAGTCCCTCAGCGAGGCTGCAATTGGCCCAGGGATCAGCAATAGGTGCATATCAAAATGTACACAAAGGCAAGGCTTTCCTGCACAACAACCACAACCCTGAGTCAGGGAGAGGCAGCTTTAATGCTCTTTTTTTTTAAAAAAAAAATGGTGATAATGAAGGGTGGCTGCTTCAATGCATTTGAAACTGTGTTTGTGTTGGTTATTTGCTGTTTGCATGCTGCTTTGTGAAGGCTCACCCCTCTTTAGAAAGTGGGTTATAAATTTATTACTTAGGGCTTCATGGCAACCCATTCCTCCCCACCCACCTGTGGTTTGAGCCAATCAGAACCAGCTTAGTTGTTTTCTTCGTGTAGACTCCGAATCCAACCTGAGCCATCAGGTAGCAGAAGTGAGCAGCATCTAGGAGGCCTCTCGAAGCTGTGGCAAAAGACAAAAGGCATCCCTTAAAACGGGGGCAGGAGAGGACTGAGGCCCAGGGACCCTCTGTTCCCAGAGACTGATCACTCTTCCCTCCCACCCCAATCTCCATCGGTGGGATTTGCTTCTGTGGTTTACCAAGCGTGTCGCCCATGGTGGTGATTGTCCTGTGCTCCACCTCCATGTTATTTGTCAGGTTGGAAAGGACCATTGCCAAGTGGGGTCTCCAGTCTCCCCATTTCTCATCTCCACAGCACTAGCGGGGGGGTGGGGGGTGGCAGGGAGAGAAAGACAGGATAAATGAATTTTCCAGTACACTGCTAAGTCTTTACCTCTGCCTTTCAGTTTGTTTCTGCATTAAAAACAACAACACCACTGTACTGTGATTTTACTGTTTTGCTTTTACAATTGTTTTGCACACTGCCTTGGGACTAATGTGAATGGAGGCATAAAGATATAAAATAAGATGAGCCACTGCAAGTCTGACGAATAAATAACTACAAATTCACAAAGTGCATGGCTGCTAAGGGAGCACTTAACAGTGCATTCCTGTTTAAGCACGCACAAAACTGAAAGCCCTTTGCCCAATGAGGAATTGTGGCCTCCTCCAATGGGCAGGGACAAGGCAGGCTCTCACTCAGGACTCACTGTGGATGCTGCGGGCATCCTCCCGGACATGAGCTGGTAGACAGTCTGCAGGGGGTCGTTGATTGGGAGGCTGTTGGCGAACCTGACAAGCCAAGAACACACAAAGTCAGGGGTCTTTCTAAGGAGACATTAAGAGAGTCCAACGGCACTTTGAAGGCATAAGAAGAGCCCTGCAGCAGCAGTTGGATCAAGCAAAGGGAACCCATCAAGTCCAGCATGCCAGTCCAACAGCAACCAACACGATGCTCCAATGGGAAGCCCAAATGCGAAACCTGAACACAACATCAACTCTTCCCACTTGTGGTTTCTAGCAACTGGTATTCAGAGGCATACTGCTTCTGGCAGTGGAGGCAGAACAAAGCCATTGTGGCTAGTAGCCACTGATAGCCTTCTCCTCCTTCGATTTGGTAAATCCCTTTTTAAAGCCACCCATAAGAAGTCTGCTAGACTGTGCAGTCCAGCCGTCTTATGGTGATCAAGCAGATGCCCACGATGGGAAGCCTGCAAGCAGGACCTGAGAAAACAGCTGCAATTCTCCCCACCTATGATTTCCAGAAATTGGTATTCATTGGCATATTGCCTCTGATAGTGGAGAGAGAACATGTACCCATCGTGGTAAGCGCATTTATTTGCTTACTGCAGGCAAGAGACGAGTAAAGAACAGGTATGGGTAACCAGGTGACGGCAGCAGAGTTTTAAAAATGTATTGAAGTTCACTGGAAAAAGGGCTGGGAGTGCACATGGAGGTAGGTATCTCTTACCTGGTCATCACTCTTGCGTGAGCCCTACTGTCCATCTTGCTGGCCAGCAGCAAAGCGTGGCCCCAGAGCCCGTGTTTCATGGCTGATTCCAGAGCGTCCTGGTGCGAGGGGGGGGGGGGGACAGAAACTTGTCAAGCTGGGCATGGATCTCCCCTGGGGTGTGCTCAGCACCCATAGCTCTCCTCCTCACTCCAACACATGCTCAGGAAGAAACCAGCATTTGACTGAGAAACCTTTAATCAGATTTCTTTTGGTGTCAGCACCTAGGGTCAATGCCAGCTTCTAGAAAGACCTTAAAGGGGCTACTTCAACATCTTGGTATAGAAGGGTGTGGTGTATCGCCCTCACTGAAAACCCAACATGCAAGCTATGACTGGCAAAGAAGAAGAATACACAAGGACGCTTTTGCTGGAGAGTTGGTGGGACATCACCACCATCACAAATGCAAAACCAATCAGGACCAGTACCCAGCAGTTTGCACTAATGTCAGGCGAAACACTTCCTCCCTTCCTTTTAACAGAAACATCTGCCATTGTAAGGTGGAAATTACTATTATAACAAAGATTAAGGTATCTCCAGAATTGGGAGTCATAGTGCTGTTTTTGTTGCCTTTGGTTCAGTAACAACACTAAAATTTTACACACACATACGTATTACTGTTATGTAAGAAAGAAGGAAATTAGCCGTCCCTAGCCCGTCACCTTCTTGCGGCCATAGAGCAAGAGCTCCCGGAACCGGTCTGTCTCCTTCTCGAGGTTGCCAATGGTGGCGATGAGGCTGTCTGAGAGGAAGGAGAGCTGGGCTTCTCCAGACTCCTCCTCTGCCTGCTCCAGGGCCTCGTTCGTGAAGTCAATCAGGTTTGCTTCATTGGGTGATTTCCCTGGGAGCCACACTGTGCGATGATCCTGGAGCAAGAGCTCAGCAAGGTCTGTGCCCACCACTGTCTGCAAGGAAAGCAGTGGACAGCAACACTCTTTCAAAAGGGCAGCTTGGATGGAGACATCCCACAACCTGGCAAGGGGGTGGGGAGAGAAACATCTAGCTGGTCCCCCTTAGCCCAGAAACTGCAGGACTTGAGTTCGCAGACAAGTGTGACTTTTGGTTTGTTTAGTAAAATTAACTGTTTGGTAGACTATACCCAAAGAGTGATTATCATTCTTTAGCTCTGCATTCAGGCATTCTTTCAAAGCTCAAGGTGGGAGGGCGGGGCAGGGCATGCCTTTCCCTGTACATCACTGCAACCATCCCATAAAACTGAAAGCACAGTGAGTTGGAAGGATTAATCTGCAGGATATTAAGCATTTCACTGGTTCAGATATTTAGCAGGAAGCCCAGAACTCTTACCCCATTCTGTCTGCACAGGAGAATGATGAAGTCCCAGAGGAGCCGGGCAGACTCCTTGTCGATCAGAGTGTCATTCTGAAAACACCGGGTGGCTTGGTTCTGGGCAAAATTGATAACATCCACTTTGTGAGTCTCTTCTCTATAAGGAGGAGAAGAGAAAGCAGTGGTGAGGCAGGGAACTAGGCCTCCAAGGGAGGCAGCTCGGAGCAACCTCCGACGTGACGAAAGGCAAGTGCTTCACATACTTGGTGAGGGGGCCAGGGAAGGCTCTCATCTCCTCCTGCTCCAGAGAGTGCTGCATCACCATCTGCAAGGCAAGCAGAGGGGAGCATCATGGACAGGGTCTGTGATGCATCTCATTACACTGAAGGCAGCACTAACTAGACCCTGCTGAACTCACAAATTAGGGAACTCAGCAATGGGAGAGTGGGCTCTGCTGAATTAAGGGGGACATAACTATTAATAATAACAACAATAATAATGTATTACCCAGTCATCAGTCAAAGGTCCCAGGCAGGATTACAACATTAAAACACAGTATGCAAACCAGTTTAAAACAGCTTACAATCACAGAAATATGGTGGGTTCTAAAATATACCCCTGAAGTGACAAATGTCATGGTAAATACTAATAATAATTTATTATTTCATGAGGCAAGCCAAAGTTATTTTCAATATAAGGAAATATATAAAACAGATAACTACATATAAAAACCATGAAAACAATTGTGTGTATTCACACACACACACACACACTTACTTATTAATATAAAGTACAGTTTACAACCACATCACATATAGAAAAGCAATGGGATAAATATTTTAGAAGGCTTAGTGAAATTAATGGCAAGCTTTGTTTCATTGCATATCATCATAATTTTTTAAAAAACGAGCTGGCCATTTACACACATTAAGTGTTATTAAGCATTATTAATTATTATTATTAAATACATTTGTCCCAGATCTCCTGGCACTTCAAGTGTGTGACCAGCAAGGACAGCAATGAAAGCTGGGCATGAACCGGAAGCTTCCTAGAAAGCCTCCTCCTCTATTTTGTCTGTTTAAAAAGAGTCTTAATTAGTCAAGTTCAACAAATAAATAGAAGCTCTTCCAACAAAGCTCCATTTTAACTTTTTTGCACCGTCTAAATAATTTGTTCATTCCACCACTTTAGGCCTCATATTTGAGCTCCTTGAAGGAAAGGTGGGATATAAACGCAACAAATAAATGAACAGAGCAATGTTTTATACAGGATGGTTTAGCCTGCAAACTTGGTAAGGCAGGGAGAGATTCTGTAGCATTAACAATAGGACACAGAGTCCTGGGTGGAGCACAGCTGAGGCAGGCCTTCCCCTCCCTTACCTCCATGCTGTGGATCTCAACCAAAGCTGGCTGCCCCTCTGAAGGCAGGTTTGCCAGGACCTTGATCAGGTAGCCCCCAGGACCGAACCTGCAGCAGACATGGGGCACTGAAAATTTCTCAGGCGGCAGAGGCCTTGAAGGGGCTGCGATGGGGAAGGAAACAGGCAGGCAGGTTAAGAACAAACGTCTGGCAGGTGTCGGCTCTCTGTTTGCACCTTACTGGATGCATAAAGCCCAAGAAGCCGCCCAGGTGCTACCTTGTTCCACAGTCATCCACGCAGCTTGAGTTGCATAGCTGTCCATGAAAGGGGACTGCTCGCCAAAGTGGTCATAGGAATACTCTGTGTGGAGTGAGACTGGTTGGTGATTCGCTTCATAGGTGCCAGCTGTCAGGTCATGGTTGCTTCGATACAGCTGGCTCTGGAAGGGAAACATAAGGAAGAAGTGCTTAAGGGCCAGAGTTTGAGCAGAGGAAATGGCAAGGTACAAGCTACTCACCGCCCTTCAAGTGAGAGCCCAGGTTGTCCTAATAAACCACAAGGACCTGCCCAGGTTCTAATATCCTCAGTCGAGCACCTTCTAAGTGCCATCCACATCAGAAGAATGGTTGGGGGTGACGTGAGAGAGAGTGAAGTTTCTTCAGCTGCTCCCTGAGGATATTCTCTCCCAAGAGAGGTCAGGATGGTTCCCTCCTTGCTATAATTCTGCTGGCAGGCTGAGACTTCCCTGTACAGACAGACCTTTGGAAGACTAAGGTGCAGGTGGTGCGAACCACTGGGCTGCTGTCGGAGCAAACTCTGTTTTTAACTGCTGGTTTTAAATGTGTTTTGATGTACAGTCATACCTCGGGTTACAGCAGCTTCAGGTGCGTCTTTTTGGGTTGCGGACTGCCGAAACCCAGAAGTACAGGAACAGGTTACTTCCGGGTTTTGGCGGTCGCGCATGCGCAGAAGCGCCGAATCACAACCTGTGTGTGTGCAATGCGGGTTGCGAACACTGCGGGTTGCGAACGTGCATCCCGCACGGATCCGAGCGTCCACTGTATTGTTTTTAACTAGTTTCCTTTTATTACTTTATATTTTACAATGATGTTTTTAAACTTTGGAAGCCTTGAACCCCAACTTCTGAGAAAAGCAAGATATAAAGCATTGAACATCAATAAGAATAGTATTAATAGTATCATCATCATCATATCTTTATTAAGAAAAGAGCTGGTGCTGTGACATCTTTATTGTAATTATTTGTAGGCCTTAATAAATCATATATATGCGTGTGTGTTTCTGTTAATGTTTACTTGCTTTTTAAATTATTTTCTCCACCTCCCACATAGGTTTCTAGCTGTTCTTATTTTATCCTTAAGCCACCTTGAGTCTCTGTCAGGGAAGAAGGCGGGATATAAATAAATACAATAACAACAACAACAACAACAACAACCCTGGGACAGTTTCTTTTGGTGGTGGAGGTGGAGAGAGAAATCAGCGAGACCCAGCTGAGGCACAGCTAGTGCAGGGGGAGGGGGGAACCCAGACTGCAGCGCTGGGGGTTCTTTCGTGCTGCCAGGTGATTCTCCAGAGACAGGCCAAAGTCTTACCTGCTGGGAGCGCGAGCTGAAGCTGCTCCGCCGGCTGTGGGAGCTGCGCAGGCTGTGGCCAGACTGTTCGCTGTGAACACTGTGTCGGTCAAACTCGTCCCCATAGAGGTTCCGGCGAGGCTCTAGGTCATCAAAACTGGCGGTGAAACGGGGGTCATACTGCCAGTGCTCCTCATACTGGTTGTGGCTGCAAGGCATGGAAACAAAACACAAAAGAAAGTGCAAGGGAGGCCTTGGGATTGTGGGGAAGCTCCAAACTGAGGGGTCCTGAAAGTACTGCACAGGCTGCCAGTGAGCCTGATTTAAGGGGTCAGTGCTGGCACATAAAGTCTACAAGGGACAGGGGCCCAGGGGCCTACAAGAGTGCCTTGTTAACCCTCAAAGGCCCTGCTGGTGCCACTGCTGAGCTCTGCCTACTTGGTGTGGACCTGCAACGGGGCCCTTCAAATCCTAATTTCCACTGTAAAACTGAGGCCACGTTCACTGCGCTATACTGCTTCAAACACTCAAGGCTTCTTTCCCCAAAGCATCCCGGAAGCTGTAATTTGTACAGGGTACTGAGAGTTGTGGGGAGACTGCCCCCTCCCATTCCCCTCCCAAAGCTAGAATTCTCAATGTTTCAACAATCAATCTCCTTCTGAGTGAACTCTAGGAATTGTGGCTTTGTGAGGGGAATAGGGGTTTTGTAACAACTCTCAGAACCCTTAACTACACTTCTTAGCTATGACTTTTTAAAGTGGTGTCATGTTGTTTTCAATGTATGGTGTGAATGTGATTAGGTCCCATCTACATAAAAACACCATTATACCGTAGTGCTTTAAGTGTGTGGTGTGGATGTCACCTGTATTCCACACTATTACAGGGAGATTTCAAAGTCTGCAAAATCATAGAGCTGTAGAACTGGAAGGGACTCAAAGGGTCATTTAGTCCAATGCAGGAATCACAGATAATGTGAGAATCACAGCTAAAGGACAGATAGACACCTCAATCCACTTGAAGTTCTCCAGCCTCTGCCAGTCCTTTGGACATCCAGTCCTTTGAGATCGCATGCAGGCTCAGAAGCCAGGAGAACCTTAGCTGTTTCTGCCACTGCTGCCATGGCCAGGCCCTGCAAGGGCAGCAGAATTCTGACAGAGGAAGTTCCCTGCCAAGGAGGGGATTTTCCTACTCAAATGTGAGGCCCAGAATGTGATCCTGCTACTTCACGAGTTTCAATCCTCTGGGGGTGGGAGGTGCACTTGGTGTTTTGAGAAACACCCATCAAGACCATTCCAGACATCCAGAGGTTCACAAACCTGTTTGCGTAGGGATAGGCCTCTCTCTTTTGGTAAGGGTGCTGTTCTGGGTAATCCCAGTACCTCTGGTCGTAAACACTGGGGTCTCTGTACCTGGCGTCGTATGGGTAACGGCTTGGACCTTAGGAGGGCAAAGGAAGAGAATCAGTAATCCCAGGAGCTTCACACAACCATTTCAAGCCACATTTTAAGACTTGCCAGAAACAGAGAGCACATGCTAGCATTCTATATGAAAATCCAGGCGTGTCAAATTTAAAAATGGCATCCCGGCTATTTATTATACAAGGTGTGTGTAAGAGAGTTGTGTGAACTTGAGGCTGTTTCAGCTATAATTAAGAATAGAACTGGAATGTCCCCTCTGAAAACTAATGGGGTCAGGTTTTGAAGAGGATGGAGTTTGCCATCAAGGAAGTGCCCTCTTTCTCTCTCCAGAAAATATTATTTTTAGGTTTGAGATTATTTTTTAGCCAAATCCCATGCAAGGTAATAAACCTCTGAGCTAATTTACTGGGACATGCACACCCTGCATTTCCACCTTTAGCAATGGAGGCACTCAGGGAGTTCAACAGGATTTACTCCCAAGTCAGCATCCATAAGGCTACAGCCTGGGAATTTCAAAACAAAGCCACCTCAAAATATATAATAAAATTAAAACATCCTCAGCAAGGCAAATGGGGGCATTGCTATGCATCATTCCAAAACATACAAATCCATTTTCTTACAACCAATGCTGCTTGGTTTTTTCCTCCTCAAACTTGTAAAGTTGCCAATTTCATTACTGACATACAATTCCACACCTAGGGATTAGCTTTTATCATGAATGAGAAAACTGCTACTGTAGATTTACAAATTAATTATTCACAAATCTTAAAAACACTTTTCCAGGTCAGTGAAGTATAAAAGGTTCAAAGAAGAACTTCACTTGGTAGCTTGAAATTAGCATCAGTAGCTCCCTTACTAGCTTCATGAGCACAATGAGTGACAGGGCAACCAAAGTAGTTTCTGTGCCGAAACTGGGCCTAAACCCTGATTGAAATGGATCTACAAAATCCATTTCCTCTATGGTACACCTGTATCTGGTCTGTAACCACCCACACAAGAATCTTGCCCAAGGTATTTATTCACAGCCATGATGACTAAGATTTTACTTTATTTTTAAAGGAAAGGCCACAAAGCTCAGTGGCTGAGCATCTGGTTCACATGCAGGAGGTCCCAGGTTCAATCTCTAGGGGCATCTCCAGGTAGGGCTGGCAAAAATTCCCTGCCTGAAAACCTGGAGAGCCGCTGCCAGTCAGTGCAGACATGACTGAGCTACATGGAACAATGGTCTGACTCAATGTGATGCATCTTCCAATATTTCTAATCAACCATGCTCTTCTCCAGTACAAGATCATCCCTATAAACCTGCTGCTTGCCTCCATCTTTGAAACTCTGCAAACGTTATAAGGGTCCTCAGCGGAAAAGGGAGAATATAATGCTAGATTTAGGTTAACTATAAGATGAAGGAATGGTTATAAAATGTGTTTTGCTGAAGGACAAAAAAAACAGCAACCCACTGATATTCCCTACCTCCATAATCATAGGGATTTACATAATAGTCCGAGTAGTAATCATTCCATCCGCCTTTGGTGTTGTAGTAATCTTCAGGATATCCCTGCCTGCAAGAGGAAGGAAGAGGGGGGTTGTTTTATTTGTTTTAAACATCAATCATCAAAGAGATCCATGTCCATCAGCTCACAACTGAACTGCAGTGATATCACACAACTTGAAGCTCTTAACTGGTTGTTTCTTGCTAAAATTTAACTGATGGCTTCCCATTTACTTTGTTCTTCCTGATGCTTTAGAACCACTTCACAAGCACCAGATTGCTTGGTAAAGCCAGGACACAACAGGCCTTTGTAGTTTCACACTGCAGCAGCCATAAATTTATTCTGCAAATAGAGGTTCAGGCGGATGCCTTCTATGTCAACTTTTAAATGCTCGTATTCCATCAGGCTTACACAGGCAATTAAGAATACATCTTTCCACGATAGTTAGCAGATTTACGTTTACTTTTTTTATATGGTGCTTGTCTTATGGTTTGATGCACAATTGTCACAATCTGCTCTGATTTTATTTATTTATGAAAAGCAATATAGAAGTATTTTTATTTTTAAAAATGAACAGGAAACTTCTGGATGGGGTGAGGGTTGGCTAAAGTGTCTTTCAGAAAGGGGTGCACACATAAACACACACACCCCACGCCGCTTTCAAGGACTGCACACCTGGAGGAGGGTTTATCAGAGGTGTGGCTTGCTCTGGAGCTGGGGCGTTCTGGCTCCCCCTGATGATAGCTCCTAGCGTTCCTACTGGGTGCCGTGGTGTCATAATGCTGGGAGGCAGGATCATATCGGCCGTATGGATGCTCCTAGAGGCAAGAGGTTATATATTACTCAACAGAAAACTCAAGAGCCGAAGTCCACCACATCTAGATCCTCTTCCTCTCCCAGCTGACCTTTTGCCAACTGCTAACTAGAGAAGCTTTGGAAAGAATAAAGGCTCAGACGTCAGGAGAAATGGGGAGTTTAGGCCATCATTCCTTTCAACAATTGCCATGTGGTATCACATGTTTGGGGGAACCCACATGATCCTCCTCTTTGCTGGTTTTTGAAGTTTCTAAATCCCTTCACCCTGAATGTCTTTCTAATTAAGAACGTAACAGCAAGGCTGACAGGTCAGGCTAAAAGAGGCCCAACCAGTCCAGCTTCCTGTCCTCATGGTGGGGAAAAAAGATGTCCCAATGGGAAAATGCTCCCAAGCAGGACCCGAGCACAACAGCAACTCTACCCTCCTGTGGTTTCCATAAACTGGTAGTTGTGCAAGCATAGCCAAAAGTAAAAAAGACAAAAACAAATTAAAACTGGGTGCAGGGAGAAGGCTCTAGTCAAAGAGCGGCATAAACCAGCCAAGTCCTCTGGCCACATTCAAATGATAGGCAAAGCTAGACCTTCCCACATGCCACTGCATTCCAGATATGTTGGCATTAGAGCTCCTGGCAACTCGCACAGAAACTGATCAGGGATAGAGTTCTAGTTGAAAACATTTTGAGAGCATCAGGAGTGGGGAACCTTAGTCTGCAGTTGGGATTTCATCCAACCCCCTCTGGAGCAGCAAAAACCAAGGCATCTTCAAATATCTGAAGGAACATCACATGGAAGATTGAGCAAGCTTTTTTTCCTTCTGTTCTGGAGGGGAGGACCCGAACCAATGGATTCAAGTTACAAGAAAGGCGATTCCAACTAAATATCAGGAAGAACTTTCTGACAGCAAGAGCTGTTTGACAGGGGAATGGATTCCCCCAGGAGGTGGTGGACTCTCCTTCCTTGCAGGTGTTTAAGCAGAGGTTGGGTGGCCATCTGGCATAGATGCTTTAGTTGAGATTCCTCTGCAATGCAGGAGGTTGAACTAGATGATCCGCAGGGTCCCTTCCAACTCTACAATACTATGATTCTAAGCTTGTTCCATCTTCAACGTGGGAGCCAATCTTCAAAGGGCAGTCACATGAGAGATGGAGCAAGGTTGTTTTCTGCTGCTCCAGAGGATCCTAATTAATGATTTCAAATTGCAAGTCAGGAGATTATGATTAAATATTAGGAAGAATTTTCTGATGGTGAGAGCTGTTAAGAATGTGGAATGAACTTTCTCAGAACTTTCTCCTTCATTGGAGTTTTTAAAACAGGTTGTATGTCCATCCATCAGGGATTCTTCAGCTGTGATTCCTGCATTACAGGGGGTGGACTAGATGAGCCTTGGGGTCCCTTGCAACTGTAGAATTCTATGTTTCTATATATGGAACTGCTTTTGTTTTGATATTTTTTTTGTTTAATGCTTGTAAATAACCCACCATGGGATCTGATGATAAAAAAGGCAAGTAAGAAGTTTAATTCAATGAATGAATAAATAAATGAATAACTAAATTATTTAGCTGTGATTCCTGCATTGCAGGGAGGTTGGACTAGATGATACTTGGGGAGGTCCCTCCCAACTCCACAATTCTGTGATTCTCAGCTGACATCTGTCCATCAGCTGTTCAGAAGAGAGAAACTGAGAGAAGGGGGAAAGGAAGATTTTCAATGTGGAAGCAACCCCCCCTTTTTTCCACTAAGCCAGCCATTGCTTTTCCCCCTGGGCTTCCGCTAACACGCCCACCCTCCCTACCACCTCACCACCCCACCTACAGCCAACCACAGAACGGCACAGAGGAAAAACAACCTGTGAGCCCACCTGGTAATAAAGGTGAGCAGTCCTGGGGTCCACTGGAGGGTATGGCGTCTGGTACGAAGGATAACTGTTGTAGGGGTGCCCATAGTAGTAGTAAGGGTTCTGTGGCTGGATGAAGGTGGTCTGGCAGGGGGTCTGAGAAGGCGGCGGGTGCTGCGGCTCATGCTGAGAGGGGATCCCGGCTGGCTGACCAGCCACTGTCACTGCATTAGTCTGGCTGGTGGCAGCCGGAGCACTCTGAGGTTGGCTCGACGACACCGGCTTGCTCTCCATGGACGCCTGAGCGTAGGTTACCAAACCCCCATCAGCCTCATAAGTCCTGTGGCCTGGGGGCTGCTGGGCAGAGCTGCTTCCAGGATGCACCTGGGGGTTGGACGGAGCATGGGGCTGCCCTGAGGATGCTGCCTGCTGCTGCTGCTGCTGCAGGGGGGAAGTGCCACCCGGAGGCTGCACATCTTTTGTGACCTGCTGATAGAAATGCTGTGGATCCTGAACCTCATTCTCCCCTCGGCCAGGGTGACCAAACACCAGCCCACTGGAGAGTGACTGGTTATGCACCTGGGTGCCGCTGGTGGTGCTGCTTTGCTCCTGGGACTTTGCTACCGTAAAATCTAGCACTCTGGGAAGCTCCTGACTGCCTGAGTTCTTGGGACTGCTGTTCACAGGGCCCGTAGCGAGGGTCAGAGGGGTTGACGTCACACTGGAGGCATTAGCCCTAGACTTGCCAGACAAGTCTGAAGGAAGCCCTTCTGAAACACTAGCCTTTTGGCTTTCGGAAGCTAAGTTGAAGGTGCCTTCGGAGGCTGGGTGCATCAGTGAGGTGGAAGGTTTATTCGAGGCCATTTCAGAAGTGCCGAGGGGATTTTGTAAAAAATTAGAATTTGACAGAGCAGCAGCAGAAACAGATGCCTGACCTGCAGGTCTGGGTTGCCCCAGAGGCATGGTTTCACTATGAGGGTTTCTGCTGGTGTGGAAGCCCAGTAGAGGCTTATTGCCACCCCCGGGATCTTTTGCCAAGTGGCTGCTTTCACTCTTGCTCAGCTGATCTGTGAGGGAGAAATTAACTGGCTGAGCCAAGCTGTAGCTTTGATTTGGCTGGGCGATCAGGACAGGCTGGTTCTGCAGAGCCTCCGTAGGTGGGGAGGAGAGGAGGCTTGCGTAACCCGAACTCGCCTGGGAGCGAAGAGCCTCTTCTTCCCCCAGTTTGGGAGGGTTTTCCAAGTTTTCGGAAGACACATTCCCAGCCAGGGATGTTGGGTGGGGGATGGACCCTGGTGAGAGGGACTGCTGACCAGGCAAACCTTCCTCGGGTGGCTGGAGCACCTGGGCTGCCTGCTTGGTCGGCACCTGCACTGCTGGAGCAGCCGGGGCCAACAGCACATTCCCCCCAAAATTTGGCACCTCACTTTGGGCCCAGAGCGTAGTGGCTGGGCTCTCACATTTTTTCCTGTTTCCCTGGGCCCTGCCTGGCAGTTTCTTCTCAGGGACCGACTGCACGTTTTCCACCAAGGACCCACCGCTGGGTTGCAGAGGCCCTGCAGCACCACTCCCCAATGTGAGAGGCAAGGGGTAGTCCCGGGGCACGAAAAGGGTCTCCAGATTATCGGGAGGCTGCTCCAGGTTCCCCGGTGAGGCGACTGGGGTGGCCTGGCTCTTCTTGGCACTTGAAAGGCTCTCTCTCAGCTCGGCCACCATCTTCGCTTGGTCGGCCTCAGGGGGCTTGACCCCCAACCCATGCGACCTGACAGGCTCAAATGAACTGTTGGCGCTCGTCTGAAAGACCCCCATGGGCTTGGGGGGGCTTGGGGTGGGTGCATGGGACAGAGGGCCGCTGTGGTGGTAACTCTTGCCAGGGCTCTGCCTGCTACCATCCCCTCCCAAAGGGGAGGAATCAATCTGCTTGAAGAAGCCCACGGAGGAAGACGATGATGCCTCCTCCTCTGGGAGCTTCCCACTCTCCTGCTGGATAAATGTGCCCAGCTCCTGTGGCTGAGATGCGCTGGGAAGACTCCACTGGCTCAGACTGCTGTAGTTGGAGGAGACACTGTCGGACCGGATGGGGTGAGGCAACAGATCAGGCGCTTCAAGGTTTGGCCCTCTTTCCAGACGGCTGGTGGCGCTAGACTTCGGCAGTGATGGGCCCAGCAGTGAGGTGTACCTGGTCGGATCTGGGGCCACCCCGGGAGACAAACGACTCTGGTTTGTAGGCTCGCTCGGCAGGACTTCCTGGTTTGGAACGCACTCCAGGTTCTCAATGTTTTCGTACTGCGTGCTGACAGGCCCTCGAGCATCGGCAAGGCTGGCTTTGTCTTCAGTGAGGAAGGCTGCACTTTTGCCAGCCTGGGCATCAGGTGGCTCACAGGTGGCTCTGAAGGGATGCTGAGCTTCCAAGCCCTCAGCTGTGCTTGCCTGCATAGGAGAGAAAGACGCTGCCGGGATCTGCTGAGAGTGGAGGGGCTGGTAGTATGTGTGGCCCATCGTCTGTTGAAAAGTGTCAGCGCTGCTGCTGGCCTGCTCGGCTCCTTCTGATGAAAGGATTTCCTCATTCTCAGCCTCATCTCCTTTGAAAAACATGGAAACTGTACCTGAATCAGTATTGGTCGGGCACTGCCTGCTGGCCGCTTCAGATGCGCCTTGAGGTTCCGCTGAGGAGTCGTTTTCTTGAGTGGTGGGATTGCCAAGAGTGTAAGTTGTTTCAAGAGGTTGCAGGTAAAAGTGTTCTTGAGGGAGGTGGCCGGGCCAAGGGCACCCTGCTCCTGTGTTTTGCCAAGCAGTGTGATGGTGACCAGAGCTCTGGCTGGAAGTCATGCTGGAGACATCGCCATACGTCAATGGGGCCTGAGCAGCATTGTGAACGAGAGGCTGCTGCGGAGAATTCTGATGGGGCTCCATGTGGGGACCTGGCTGGGAAACACCAGCAGCAGACTGAGTTACAGCATAGTGGGTGTTTTGGGATGGTGGCTCTGGGTAGGGAGAATAAGCCTGGCCCTGAGGCGGCCCTGAGCTCCCTTGGGAGGGTTTCCACTGAGGCACAGTTTGCTGGGCAGGAGAGAAGAAAGACAAAGATGCTGACAGGGAAGCAGGGTTGCTTGGATTCCCACCAGCCTCCTGCCTGCTCAGAGGCCTGTCTGGCATAGGAGCCAACCCCTGGTGCCCGCTGACAGAATTTTCAAGAGCGATCCCCATGGAATGATGCTGCCCCAGAGGGCTATGGGTACGCTTGCCAGGCTCAATGCTCAAAGGCGTTTCGGCACTGTTTGTGACTTGTGGAGCAAACAATGGCATGGGGGCTGCCACACTCGAAAATGCACTGTTTCCTCCAGGTTGAGAGGCAGGCGCTGCTGGGGAAAATGAGAGAAGACCATGAGGACTGTCTGCTGCATGTGGAGGAAACGCTGCTAGAGAAAAGTCTTGCACAACAGGTGGATTGCCTCTGGGGTTGTTGCTGGCAGCAAACTGGGTGCCTTGTGGGGCTTGCTTGCCAAAGGCAAAGGGGTCTGTCACGGGTTGCACCGGGCCTGCGGCTGCAGAGACTGGCACGGTGGCCCGCTTGCCAAACGGATTGCTTCGCCAATACATGTTCTGTGATGTTGCCAGTGGAGGGGGCCCACCTGCCCCAGTGGGGATGGTTTGTGGTGGAGGCTGCATGACAGACTCCTAGCTGAGTTGCTCAGGAGAATTACTGGAGGATGCTGTGGAACTGGCTTCACTTCATGCACTCACTGCAAAGGAGAGAGAGAGAGAGAGAGAGAGAGAAAGAAGACAAAGAGTTAAAGAGGCTTCCTACTTCATAAGAAGTGTGAACTAAGCATTGCCAGAAGTCACCGTTATGATGGGGGGGTGATCCTTTTGAGTGTTTACTGAAATACTGTCATCCAAAGAATTCGAGGAACAAGTCCAGTACAGGGTTATTTCCTATGCAAGATGATTTTTTGGTCATCTTGTTCATCACAATTAAAAATGCAAATGTTTACTCATGAATTATTATTTTTTGGAATGTTTGTAAATATTTTAAAATGTGACAACTCAACAGGATGTTTTTCTACCACATTAGACTTTAAGGGGAGGGGAAAGGAAGGCACAGAAAATTCAACATGTCAATTTTAGCATGCTTGAAGAGTTGTTAACATCAACAAGTTCTGGAGAAACAAGGAAATCCTTCATTGCTACATTAATGTTTATGAAGTATAACATAATTTTTAAAAAAGAAATATCCTGTTTCCAAAAGCTGAAAATTAATCATAGAAAAACAGAGTGGGAAGTTGTCCACATCATTAACTTGCATATATTATTTAAGTCCACATCATTGACTTGCATATATTATTTAAGTTCATTTTTCATTTGCTGCCAATTAATTTTTTACTGTGAGAATCTGAAAATAGCTCTCCATTCATAGAAGGCTGCATTGAAAAGGAAGTCCATTGAAGCACATGCCTTATAGCCAGGTGCTCCCACTAAACAATTTCAAGTGCTACTCTATCAAGACAGAAGCCTTCTTAAAATGAAGAGGGTCTCATAATAAGCAAAACCCTGCTAAACGTCAGCCCTTTGGAAATGCAACCCTGCAGTGAGCGTTTACACCTAGCTTGGTAACTCACTGGAATCAAGGGGGCTATGTCCTGAAATTAGGGAGGCCCTGCTGCAAATGTGTAAACAGGCACTCTCCTCATCACCTCTAAGTTTCTGTGCAAGCAACTTGGTGGGGTGTATTAATCATAAAAAAGAGGTCCAACTAAACAGTGGCCCTCCAGATGTTGAGGGATGACCTCCACACACACAGCATCCCTGATCATGGTTGCTTCAATTGTGCTTGAACAACAACAATGCTCCCCCACTTTAGAAAAGCCTTGCTTTCTTCCTCTCATTTTAGGCCACAGTGTTGTACCAAACAACTAATCTTGGCATGTGAAGCCTGGAAAGCTAGCAAACATGACAGTGGGCTTTCCTAGGCTTACTTTCATGGCTGCCCTGAGGTTTTAGATCAGAACTAAAATCTTTCATCTGAAATGCACTGCACTATTACGTGCTCCTAGAACCCCAAAGCAAGGGAGCCCCAGTCTTTCTGGAAAGCTAAGAAGTTGTTGTGATCACTGCAAAATGCCTATTTCAGAGAAGAAAAAATGGATATTGCTTAGAACTCCCCCACCCTCAAACAGGTATGCACACAACAAAACGGGCAACCCTTCCAACCAAAGAGAAAGGCAAAATTCCCTCCATTTTTAAAATGAAAAAGAATGGGATCAGTGGATCTTGATGGGAGTCACAGGGGTGTCTGAAGATGAGCTTGGAATTTCTCCAGCTCTGAACAATCTTCCAAGAAAGGTAGAATAGCATCACCCTTTCTGATAAGCTTCTCCAATACAAACTTCCCCTGGGATATTTTGTTTAAGTATGACCTAGTTTAATTTTTATTAAAAGGGAGACATTCAGAGTGCCAAATCAAGAGTTCTGAGTGGGGAGGAGGGACTACATGTGGATCAAATGCCCACGTACAGTATGACTTGGCGGCAGTGCAGATGGAAAGGATTCTGGCCTGGATAGCTCAGTCAGTTAGAGCGTGGTGCTGGTAACACAAAGGTTGCAGGTCCAATCCCCATATGGGACAGCTGTATATTCCTGCATTGCAGAGGTTCTGACTGTGATCCTCAGGGCTCCTTCCTCTATGAGTCTATGACTGCAATTGATCTACACTGGACATGATGAGCTCCACTTTATTCTGCCCTACTTAGGCTTGATCTGAAGTTCCAGGTCCAGTTTTGGGCACTCACTTCCTTTAAGATTTCTAAATGAGAGAAATAGTCAACAGCATGGAAAAATAAGTTTTGAGGAACTTGGAATGTTTACTCAACAGAAGAAAATATTGTTAGACGGAATTACAGTACTCTTTAAACCCCTGAAGGGCCATTATATAGAAGGGGGAAATGACTTCTTCCCTGCTGTCATAGAGGGCAGGACTAAATTACTTAGAAGTAATGGGTTTAAGTTCTAGGAAGAGAGAAAATCCAGTCCAATGTCAGAAGAAGCTTCTTGACAGCAAGAGAAGCTGGAACGATGAACCAATAATTGAGGGGAGGGGAGGGGAGGATGCCTTCAGGTAGAGTCTGGGCTGCCATCGGGGGTGGGGGGGTGGGCTCTGGATTTCATGGAACATACTACCCTATTTGTAAGGCACCACTGCATAAAGTACAATGCAGATGCAGATGCCTTCAGGAAAGGCCACTAGATTTAGTTTTGGCTTTTAAAAGCAACACCTTCATGTCTTTATGGAGTTCACAACATCCATGTTTGTTTGCTTTTTGGTGGGTGGGTGTGTGTGTGTGTGTGTGCACGCGCACCGCCTTAAAACACACAAAGTTTTAAAGCAATATTTACAAAGCTTTCAAAGACTTGCTTTTTTGATTGAAGAAAATAAGATTTTATTCTTTACAACACATGTTAAACACTTCATCCAGTATCATACTTGAATTAAACCCAGTGCACAAGCTGCAAGGAAATCACAGTTGCAAAGGTCAAATCAGATTCAGGATATATCCTTTAATTGGACCAATTCATTTGGTTAGCTGTGTGGGGCTGTGATAGTGAATGAAGTCGAGAAATGTGAGATTTTAGAAATGAGTGTTTGGACTTTCAGGCCTTGGCTTCAGGCCAACTCATCCAAAAATGTCCCTTTAAGCAAAATCAGGGCTGTTATTAACCACAAGTTGTAAAAGGCTGGGATGCTTCCTGGCTCAAAGAAAAGGCAGCTAGAAATTCCCAGGCAAACTGAATATGCTACCTGTCTATTCACCTCATCTGACCACTAAACCAATCTCCAGGATTTCAAATAGGAGCTTCTCCCAACCTTACCTTCTGTCTGCAAGGGAGATCCACTACTCTATAACACACACACCCTCCCGCAACTCTTAACCACACTCACAGGCAAACACCCTTTTTATCACTGCCAATAATTGTTTTGAGTGACTCAGAATGTGGGATTAAGATATAGACCAACAAAGCAGTCCTGATGTTTTTACACTGCACTCCTGGATTGGCTCCCTTTTTCTCAGCACCTGTTTTTCCCCCCTGTAGGATGATGAGCAGAAACTCAACAGGTGATGCCATCTCTCACTGGAAAGAGTACGAGTTGCACAAGTTTCAGGTAGGTAGCTGTGTTGATCTGACGCAGTTGGCCAAGTGTTTGGCAGGACATTTCCATATATTTCCTGTGCAAAAATTTCCTTAGTGGTGCAAATCAGATCTCACAGTTATGTTCAGATATCCTTCTTCAGAGTCCACAGCTATCTATTAAGGGGGAGGGTGCCTGCAGCAGAAGTCAAAATCTTGACAGGCTGTGGCTCAGTGGTAGAACACCTGCCTTATGCCAGGTTCAGTTCCTGGCATCTCCACATAGGGTTAGGAATGGCCTCTGAACATGAAACCCTGGAGAATAGCTGCTGCCAATCAGTGTAGACAATACTGAGTTAGAAAGATCAAGGGTCTGACTCAGTTCCCAGTGTTCCTGTAAGGTTCATGTCAGGCCAAGTTTATATTCTTTTAGACTTCAGGTGAAAATCCTTTAAACTTTCCCAAACCACTTAGTTAACTTTGGTTAGCCTGTTCTAAGTTATATATAGCTTCTCACACTCATGGGTGTCTTGAAGCGACTTGCTGTAATACAGTTTGGGGTTTCAGAAATAGGTGGGTCCTTCCCAGGCCTACCTTGAATTGCCACTAGGTATTGAACCTGTGACCTTCTACATGCAAAGCAACTGTTCTACCTGGTGATCTGAAGCCTTTCCCAATCTACCTTCTACCTAGTCACATCACTTGACTCATGTAGCTCAGCACTGTCAACATGGAGCGGCAGCAGCACTGGAGAGCCTCAGACTCACAGGACGTTCCTAGCCTCACCATAGGAGCCTGTCCTTGCAAATCACAGGCTCTAACCACTGAGCTACATCCTCCCCTTAGAATAATTTTCGGGTCCTCGTGGTTATGAATAGAAGGGCTGAATTAAACAAGAATGCCAGCATATTTAACTTAGCACGAGTGGGGGCCGAACTTGGGCCCCTCCTGCGTGCATGCAAGAGAAGTCACAACCTCGCCTTGAGAGGCTGATTTATTTCTCGTGAAGAAAGCCCACCCGCGACCGCCGCATCCTCATCCTTATAACCTTCTCCTTCACCACAATAGCATGCGACGGATAGAAGAGAGGGTGGGAGAAAGGAAGGGCCTGCCAGGTAGACTGCCGCTGAGCCTGGAGGCTCCACCTTTATCCCCGCACCGGCCTACTCCGCCCTCTCCTTCCTACGCCCCCGACACCCCCGGGGGGACTCACCTGCTTACCGCTCGTTCAGCAGTAGCACAAGCAGCGCCAACCGGCTTTAACGGTGCCTCGGTGACAGGCAGGCAGAAGCAAAAGCAGCAAGCGCCGCCGCCATCTTGGAACATCCGGCAGCGCAGACGTGTCACGTACGCCCCTAACCATACGTGTGACGCCATCACGGCCCCCCGCCCCCCGCTTTGGCCGGCTCCTACACAAGGTAGAGATGCATGTAGACTTACGAAAAGGGATAATAATAGACTCGTGCACGATTTCACTTCCGAGTTCACTTGCGAAGGTTTTTCTTTCTTTTTTTACTCCGCGCCCCTTTTGCTCCCTAAGAGCCACGAGGACTGGAAACTTTGGCTGCCTGAAATGCCTTGCATTTAAATCATATTTCCAATCCACCCCGCAAAGGATCGTGGGAATTGCAGCTTGCTTAAAAGTGCTAAAACTGTAGCTCTGAGGTGTGGTGAACTACAGTTCCCAGGATTCTTTCGAGGGGTACATTACAAAGATGTCTGCAAACGTGACATGAAGGTTGGCAACATCAATCTCGCCGTGCGTGAATCCCTTGCAGAGGATCACAGTGCCTGGATCCACAGCAGTGCTCAGAGGAGGGATGACTGCTAGGAGGAGCACAGAGAGAAGAATCGCCATGGTGCAGCTGTAACAGCGAAACCGGGTGCCTTCATCTGTCCCAGATGCAACAAAACATCTCTCTCCCATATCAGTCTCTACAGCCACATAAGGCGCTGCAACCTTCCAACAGCTTAACAGCTTATCTTAAACTCCCAAAAGCACACGCCTTCATGATCTCCCGAGACAGAGGTATGCTCACAACGTACAGGTGCCCTTTCTTGGGTGGGTTAGAATCGGAGGAATCGATCCATAGAAGTTGGGATCAGAGCGCCTACCTGTCATCTGTGTTTGTGTTCCGGTGGGAGGAAACAGGAATTGAAGGGTGGGCATGCTGCTCCTTATTTTCTTAGCTCTACGGTTTCGTCCGCCGCCAGTAATTCGTTGCTCGGCGTTTCCGTCCTCTGCCCCCAATCAATGAGTCAGTTAAAGGAGAGGCCACGGCGATCCCTTTAAGGAAGTTCGGAACTCTCCGGCGGGAGGAGGTGGAAAGAGCCGAAATCATTTCCCGGCTTTTCAGCTCGGAATCTTTAGTGCGTGGAGTAGGCTGGCTAAGAGCCCCACCGTGCCTCTGAGCATGCACAGAGTTCCCTCGCCTACACGCATTTCTTGAGCTTGTGAGACCCGGAGGGAAGGACGCTCATTCCCCCCCCCCCCACTTTATTACAAACACTTTCTTTTTATTTAGTTTTAAATTCTTCGCAGAATTCTCTGCAAAAGTTTTGCAACCCAAATTTAATTTACATGAAGAAGATGCCTGGAAATATTTTGAAGGTCAGGGTGGAGGCTCAAGCCATTTGTGCTAAAATGCTAACCAAATCTGCATCTGCATCCACACTGAATAATAATAATAATAATAATAATAATAATTTATTATTTGTACCCCGCCCATCTGACTGTGTTGCCCCAGCCACTCTGAGCGGTTTCCAGCAAATATAAAAGCATAACAAAACATTAAATATGAAAGCTTCCCTATACAAGGCTGCCTTCAGATGTCTTCTAAAAGTTGTATAGTTCTTGATGGAAAAAGGTAAAAGGTGGATCTAGACGGATCCTCATGAATTCATATGATTTTTTCATTCAAATTAAATAAAATCACCATGATACTGTAGACCATGCCTTACTCTGTAGACAGCATAAAAAAAATCACACATCCACTGTTCCACAGGGGCGCAAAAACATGGTTAAAAAACACGGATCCTCATGATTTTTGCACTAGATCAGGCCAAAGTCACCATCACATCAAACATCATGGCCATGGGCACAGCATCCACCACAAAAATCACGCATCCACGGGTTCCTGGCCATGTTGTTGTTGTTTAGTCGTTTAGTCGTGTCCGACTCTTCGTGACCGCATGGACCAGAGCACGCCAGGCACTCCTGTCTTCCACTGCCTCCCACAGTTTGGTCAGACTCATGTTTGTAGCTTCGAGAACACTGTCCAACCATCTCGTCCTCTGTTGTCCCTTTCTCCTTGTGCCCTCAATCTTTCCCAACATCAGGGACTTTTCCAGGAAGTCTTCTCTTCTCATGAGGTGGCCAAAGTATTGGAGCCTCAGCTTCACGATCTGTCCTTCCAGTCAGCACTCAGGGCTGATTTCCTTAAGAATGGATATGTTTGATCTTCTTGCAGTCCATGGGACTCTCAAGAGTCTCCTCCAGGACCATAATTCAAAAGCATCGGGACTTCCGGGGTGGCGCCATCGGTAATGGCGGACTCCCTCTGATCTGGAGGGACCAGCTCCACGGGAAACGGGTCTTTCCCGCTACGGCGAAGCGGGGACCCTTTCAAAAATCACAGGCGGATGAAGCCTGTGACCATGGGACTCGGCGGGCACCTTTAGTGCCCCCCCCAACCAGCAAAGGAACCCACTAACGGGCTCCGGAGTGAAGAGGGGGAAGTGGCGCGGTGCTGAGAGTCAACTGCTTCTTCCGTGGAGCGAAGCCGCACAGCCGTTGCCGGAGAGCGCTGCCTTTTTCCTGGGACAATTTGGCTTTTAAAACAACTACCCGTGAGTACTTAAATTTTGGACAATTGGACTTCAAATAAGGATTTGTGAGTAGAAAGGAAAATTGGACTAAGAAATTTACCTCAATTTGGCACTGAAACGGGAAGGTCTAAACAGGAAGTCAGCCTTCCGTTTCTTGTAGATAGATTAAAGCAAAGACATGGCAAACTAGAGTTCAGAAAATCACCTGTAAAGGATTAACTTTCATCATTTAAAATTGCTGAACCCCCTTCGGAAGCAGGAGAAGAGGGGGGATTTTTTCCGGACTGTTTAAACCTGCAGAAAAGAGTGTAACGTAAAGTAACTTTCCACCGTCTTGATCCTGGAGCGGGGTGTCAGGACTGATGTTCTTCGAAGCTCATTGACCAGAGACAAACGTCTTTGACAGATAGTTAAAAGAAGAGAAACATAGTGATTCCATTGTTCCCCTTCGCATTTTAAAGGAACAAATATTGACAAAATATCTGAATAAGGAAACTTTGTTGTTAGATCTGCCCTTAAAAGAAAAAAATAAATAGAAGCTCTTCCCCTAGAGGGAGCCTGTGAAACTGTTACTAATTTTGAACCGGGGAGCTTGCAGCTGCAACAGATTACGATCGTGGGAATAGACTTCTGACCTTGCAGAACAATGTATTCAGAAGCTCTGCTGCGTGCTTTCTGTAAAACAAGTGCCCTACTGGAACAGCTACATGAGAAGACGGACTTGATGACTGTTGCGATCAGAAATATTGGACAGGTAGTGGGAAACTATATAGAGCCCACCCAGGAATCAAATCAGGAGTGTGCTCTGACAGAACAGATGAGGGAAGAGGATGTTGCTGAACCTTGGGTGCCAGAGATGGAGGGAGCTGTGGCCCAGCAGGAACATGGGTTTTTGGATTTGACAAATGAACTTGGAAAAAGCCAGATTTGGAAAGATAAAGTTTGGTTTGGCTTGGAAATGGGGGGTTGGATAGACCCCCCTATGCAGGGATGTTTGGACTTCTCAAGTCTGGCAATGGGCCGTGAGATGTTTGGGGTTGTGGGGGCTCTTAATTCTGGAGGGACTTTGAAACATGTTTTTAAATATCACATGGAGTTTAGTGTGGACTATGGAAAAGGGGCTGATTTGTCGAGAAGGGTCAAAAACACTGTTAAGTTGGAGTTCCCATGAGTGAAAGGAGCAGGAGACAAAGTAAAGTACAGGTATAAATATGAAGGAGAACTGCGGATGGGACATGGAAGGGATTTAAGGGCCTCGGACATAAGATTACCAGGTTAATGCGCTAGATTGATGGGATAGAAAGGACTGACAAAACCCGGGACCAGGAGGAAGAGACGCTGGATGAAGATGGGAAGAAATTTTTTTTTTAAAAAAAATTAGGATTGTTTTATAAAATTGATGAACGTTAGAAAAATGTTGGAATGAAATTATCTGGCTTTAGCAAAAATGTTTAAAGAATTATGTAAGAATATTATGGTTAGGAGAAATTGGTATAAATAAGATCTAAGTTTTAAGTTTTAAGGTCTTTTATAGTAAGATAAGATTAAAATAGATTAAGGTAATGTAATGACAGATTATGAAATATGGAAAGGATTTGCTGTGACAATTAACAACTAGGATACAAAAAAAAAGGGAGGAGTGAGGAGGTCAAAGAAAGAAGGTAATGACAGTTAAGGATTTGAGAATATTGGATTTGTTTTTAAATGTTTGTGGCATATTTTTGTTTTTTGATTGTGTTGTGTTATTTTTTGATTTTGATTTTTATCAATTTGTATTGTTCGATTGTGGTTTGTTTTTCTTTTGTTTTTTCTCTCTCTCTCTTTGTTTTTCTTTTCGTAATTCTAAAATTCTTAATAAATATCATTAAAAAAAAAAGCATCAATTCTTTGGCGATCAGCCTTCTTTATGGTCCAGCTTTCACTTCCATACATCACTACTGGGAAAACCATGGCTTTAACTATACGGACCTTTGTTGGTAAGGTGATGTCTCTGCTTTTTAAGATGCTGTCTAGGTTTGCCATCGCCTTTCTCCCAAGGAGCAGGCGTCTTTTAACTTCGTTACTGCTGTCACCATCTGCGGTGATCATGGAGCCCAAGAAAGTTAAATCTCTCACTGCCTCCATTTCTTTGTTTTTGTTTTCGTTTTTTTGTAAATGATATTTATTGGGGGGATTTTTTTTGAGGTTACAAAAGAAAAACAAAGTAGAAAAAGAGAAAAGCAAACCACTTCCAACCATACATATACAAATTCAAAATAGGAAAGAAAAAGACAAAAAACAAAAAACAAAAATACACCACAAACATTTAAGAACATTTAAAAACAAATCCATTATTCTCAACTCCTCAACTTTCATTATCCTCTTTCCTTGACCTCCTCCTCCTCCCCTTCCTTGTATCCTGTTTGTTAATTGTCACAGCAAATCCTTTCCATATTTCATAATATTCTGTCATTACATTACCTTAAACTATTTTAATCTTACCTTACTATAAAAAAACCTTGAGACTTAAAACTTAAATCTTATTTTTACCAACTTCTCATAACCATAAT